ACCAAACCCAACAAAAAAAAAACATCACCCAAATGCGGAAACTTGTCTTTTCTTTCATTTTCGATTCAAATATTTCGTTTCTTGTTGTTGTTGTTGTTGTTCGGTTTTGGCTTTTTGTTTCGGCTTTTGGGCCCGCTTTGGGTGGTCTCTCTTTGGGGGTAAAGCTCGTTGAGGCTTGTTTGTGATTGCTGTGTGATCTTGAGGTTTCTGTTACACACAAGATTGAAATTTTTCTGATTTTTTAATATTTGTTGCTTGTTGCTTGTTGTTGTTGTTGTTGTTGCCTTTGGTGGCCTGGAGTCAAAAGCTAGATAAACAGGCCGCAGCTTATTGAGTGTGAAATTGGTGGAATGAGGCTGAGAGTGAACAACTTGAAACACCAACGAACATGTGATACTCTAACTGTAACTAGTGCTTACAAGAAGAGGGAGAGCGAGCGAGCACCAACACTTTGCGTGCAGAAAGAGAGAGAGAGAGAGAGAGTGAATGCGGAGAGAGCGCGGAATGCATTTTGCATTTGCCTCTGTTTAGGTGGTGGATTAGCTAACTCAAGAGCGCGAGCACATTATGCATCGCAAGCTCTCTTAAGCTCGCGCTCTCTTTATTTGCTGCACCTTTTACGCTATGCCTTCCATCATTGTGATCTTCTCCGCTTGAGTTAGTGTATGCGTATTCCCGCACAAAAGCAATTACAAAATTCCTAGCCAATGCCCAATTTCAGGCCATATTAACGTTGGCTACGAGTGAGTGCCGCAAATGCAACCACCATCCATCCATCCATCCAACCATTCAACCAACAACTGCAACAGTTTCAGGCCTCTCAGCCGCACATTAACCAAATGCGGTCAACAGTCGCAGTCGCAGTCACAGTTTAAACGACATTTTTCGCCGCTGCCACTGTTATCGCAGTGTGGAGCGACTCGCAGCGGGTAGAGGGGCTGCAGCGGGTATGACAGTTTTATTACCAAAGGCATGGTGCATGCTGCATGGCCGATCCGCTGCTGTTTATTCCAGTTGCGGCAGTTGCAGCAGTTGCCAAAGCCTTAAAAGGCGCTACCACTAGATGTTGTACCCTTGCAGAGGGTCTTATGATGTTTGTAGCGCACCAACGAAAGCATTTCGAAGCACAGGAATGGATAAGTAGAGTAAGAGTAATCAATAGTGAACAAGTTTCGTGTTTCTCTTGAACCTAACTTAACAGCCATGGCCGCCAGCCGAAAGAGTATGCAAAGCTTCGGCTCTCGCAGTGTGCTTTTTCCTCTCTCTCTCTTGCTGCTGCTGCTGCTGCTACAGTTACAGTTTTCTGGCTGTTGTTTGTCGGTTGTGCGATAAGTTAACAGTTGAAATTAATTTTTGTCACTTCATAAATCGCCAAGCCAAGAGCCCCCGATTGTTCTCCCTCTTTCCCCTGACTTATGCCTGACCCAAAAAGGCAAAGAGAGTCAGGCACTTGCCGTTCTAGATAAGAGAGTGCAGCGCCGCGAAAGAGTGGAGCAGCAGGAAACGCTACAGTACAGCCATCCGGCAGCTAAGTATTTTTTCCCCAAATGGCTCAATTTGCCACCAAGAGAGCAGACTTCTGGACGCCACCGAGTGTGTTTGGGTGTGTGTGTGTGTGTGCAGTGTCGTGATTATCACATGACGTGACAGGCACTGAAGGTACTCGTGCTTATGGATGCATTGGGGTCATACTGCTATTGTTGTGTTCCAACGCAAATTGCGCACTTAAAGGCATAAGAAACTCTACTCTTCGTGTTGCCCATCATTTATTGAGTTCTTTAATGGCCTTCAAATAACAATTTCTTTACCTAATTTATGCTCAAATTGTTCGCAAACAGATTTGAGTGGAATAAATGATAGAAAAAGCATTAAAATCATCGATTTATGACCGGGCGTCGGGGAGTCTAATCCCAGTTTATGCCTGGAGGGGGGCTAACAGAAAAGGCGCTATTGCTCGACTATAATTTCAAATTGAATTTGTTGTCCATTTATGATCTCAATTATTGCCCAATTCCGAACACTCTCTGTTGAGGCCTGGAGGGCGCCACTCACGGCTGTAATGGGGGAAACACGTCGAGTCCTGCCGCAGGCTGCCACTAAATCTTCACAAAATGCTCCACAAAATGGCCGAAAATGAAATACGAAAATTCTTGCCAACTCTTTTCGCACATCATCGGAGCATCAGGCAAGTCCCCCCCCCCCCCTGCCATGCCACTTTAATCTTTTCATTTTCATTCCCATTCCCATTTTCCTTCTGTCTGACTTGTGCTTCAGCTTGGAGCAATTTTCCATTTAGAACATGCAAACGGGGGGAAAAAGGAAAACTTTTCCAGCAATTTTCCAGTGGTCTCAGGGTAATTGCAGGGCAGAGCAGTGTAATTGAAATTCGTTTGTTTATGCTGTCATTGTTGTAGTTCCCCGCGCCGCACCGCGTGTCTTCTCGGCAAATTGAAAATTACTTAATGGTTCAGTGGCGATCGCAGGCCCGGACTGGCGGGACTACCGGTTAAATGAGTACCAAAGTGCCGGACAAATGCGAAAATTGCTCTGCTCTCAAACGATGGTGGAGCAGGAGGATGGTGGCCAGGCCATAGTTTGTTTATCTCTCAACTGAACAGCAGCGAGGAACATTATTTGCTCGGTTCATGAACTTGTTTCAGCTGGCAGACGGCAGGTGGTAGCCTAGACAATAATTGAATCAATTTGTTAACATATGTATTTCGGATATCGAAACATTTTTTCTACCAGACAGACAGACAGGAAGCGAGCTTTAACCTTCAATTATGTTTTGTGGGATTTGCATAAAAAACGATGGCAACTTTTTTGCAGCCAAAAAGCGACACTTGTCGTATGTTTGTGGTTAATTTTTTTGTGCGGACTATTGGGGATTTGTTTTTTGCTGCTAACATTCCAGTAGGGGACGGTCCTTCGCAGGAGAACTTGACCTTTAAAAGTGGTTCAAATGGCTAGCAACATAAGGTGGATATTTGAACTGAATGCCAAAAATATTCACGAATAACTGCCGCGGCTTGTACGTTAATCGGTTTACACCCCTCTATAGTTCGTCACGCCCCACAAAAAACGGTAATCAATAAGCCATAAGCCAGCAGTTGCAATTTTAAGAGATTAACGACAAACTTGCATCGCTCATGCGGCACTTTTCACAGTTTTATCGTGCAGCAAGGCAGCCAATTAATTGCCACTAAATAGAGGCAGCAACGACATATGTGTGCCACACACACACACACATATTGTGCCTTGTGCAGTTAACTAATTTGTTTCCGAACTTTGGGCAAAATGTTTTTAGTCGCCCACCCGAACGGAGCACGGCATATGTTGCATTCATTTGTCAAATTAACACCTTTTATGGCATAATACAAAGTTTAAATAATATTTTCAGCCGCACAAATTTATGAGCTTTGATTCATTGTTGGGTTGGGGAGCTTTTGATTCGTTGATTTTGCAGTGATTGCCTCTCTTTGCGGCCAAATCTCACGCTAAATCATTGTTTGCAGCTGGCGGCCAACTCCGCAAGCGACTCCGCAAGCGACTCCGAAAGCGACTCCGAAAACGACTGCGACTGCAACGACGACGACGACGACGACGACGCCATCGCCTACAACATTCATTCAAATTATGGAACCGCACTGCGATCGAGATCTCGTTTTAGTCACGCTAAATTTATACAGAAAAGAGCTGGAACAACAAAAAAAAAGAGTAAACTGAGAAAATGAAAAAGCCCCACAAACAATAAACACACCTTAAAAAACCAAGCCGCAGGCGGGAAAGAGACAGCACTCTAAAGGGAGAGCGAGCGAGAGGTAAGGCCTGAACGAAAAATCGTTTCAAGTTAATTAGCGAGCGCGACAAAAAAAAATAAAAATAAAACCCACCCAAAAGCGTAGATTTATGCACTCGGAAACTTGGAATTCCATTTCGTCGGAGCGCCCACAGACCACAGAATAATTATGGCGTTTGACACTAATCAGGGTAATGAGGAAATTGCTGAGGAATTGTAAACATGTAAATATTCCAACTATTAATTATCAAAAATGATTTAAATGGCTGAAAGTGTCAATTGAAATAATGTTGCATATTATTGAATGATTCGTGGAGCTGCCATGGCTCACAGTTTCAGCAATTAAAGTGCATCAGGGGGGGGTTTGAGTTACACAAAGATATCGCTTTTACAAAGAGTCTTTTGTCAGCCAACAATCTGTAGCTGAGTAGCCAGCAATTGGATTCCATTTGGGTAAAAATCACACACGATTCTCAAATCTTTCAGCTAATCAAAAGCAGCTTCGAATCACTCAAGCCGCAGGGCTGCCAAGAACAAATCTTTGCACATAATAGTAAAAATCACTTTGTCGTTTTCCCCAGCCGCAGAGATTCCAGGGGGGAATCCAAATTGCTTGTACAACACACACATTCACTGGCAATAAAAGGACACCCTCCAAAATGAACTCCAGCTCGCATATGGGGTACATAAACTCCTCCCTGCAGCAGCACTCCACTCCATCACTCCACTTAGTTGGCCGCATGAAATTATTGGGCAAACGATTACGGATTCCCTGCGGTGGCATAAACAAAATTCATGAGTGTGGCCATGATTGCCATAGGGCAGGGTGGGTTCAGTTCACACACACACAAGCCAAGGGGGTGGGAGAGGGCATAATGAGCTCAAGTTATTGTTACATAAGCCATAAGGACACAAAAACCACTCGAGCAGACACTTCACAGGGGTGAGTACGACCGGAGACTTATGCTTCTGGCTGGGGGTTTGCTTTTGACTCTGACTCTGACTCTTTATACATGAAACTATTGTTTGACACTTCCGACTGATAATTATTGATGGAAATGGAACTCCTACAGCTCCTTTTTCGGTTCCTTTTCTGTTGCTTGGTAAACCAACGAGCTGTGGGCTTGGAGTGGTGCCTGTGCTGTCTGCAGGCACTCAACACTCATCACCCAACTGTCAGAGAAAGCGACTTGCGACTCACCTGAACTCGGGCGATCACTGTAGCGTGTGCAGTAGACCCACGCCGGCCACACGATGGGTGTACCCGAATCGTCTCCGGATTTTTTGGCTGTCTCCTTGGCTCCTGCTCCGCCGCCTGAGGGTGGTGGCGACTTGACCAGATCCACGGCCAGACTGGTGGCCGTTGTGCTGCTGCTGGTGGCGGTGCTGTTCGAGTCGTTGCTGTTGCTGCAGATGTTCGCCAGGGAGCTGGAGAAGCTCACACTCGAGTTGATCGCCTGGCTCTGGGCCAGATTCAGCGGCTTGCCCGACTTCTTGGGCGCCTTGATCGGCTGCTGGCTGTTGTTGCCATTGTTGCTGCTGTTGCTCCCTGCACCGCCTGCACCGCCTGCTCCGTTCTTCGGTTGATGGTGCCCAGCATTGGCGGCAACCAGGCGGGAGCCAAAGTCCGCTTTCAGGATGTTGTCAATGCTGAACTTGAGCGCTCGCTCGTGCAGATTCTCATTGTTGTTGTTGTTGTGGTGGTGGAGGTGATGGTGGTGTTGCTGCAGGTGGTGATGATGATGATGGTTGAGCTGCTGCAGGTGCTGATGCGCCTGCTCCCGCTGGGCCATCAGCAATTGCTGCTGCTGGTGGCCCGTGACCGTGCCCGTGCCCGTGCCCGTGGCCGTGACCGTGCCAGGCGCTGCAATCCCCAGAGCCGTCGCCGTCAGCTGAGCAAGTGCATCCTGGCCCGTGGGTGCGGATGCTGCAGCCGCTGCTGCTGCTGCCGCCGCCGCCGCTGCTGCGGCCATTTGCAGCTGCTTGCCCGCTGCCGCCGCCGTCAAGGCGTTGACGCGGGCGGCGGCCATCAGGTGCATCTGCTGCTTCATCAGCTCCTCGGCGTAGAGCTGCGACTTGCGCAGGAACTCCTCCTGGAAGCTGCCCGCCGGGGGTCCGCCTAGGGGCAGCAGGACACTGCCCGGATCTGGGGCAGCATCAACTGAGACGGCGGGCGGATCTGTGGACACACTGCTGAAGGCCGACGGGCGGTAGAGCTGACTCATGAGGAGCCGCTGCCTTGCCTGGGCCTGGACATGGACGTGGGCCTGCGCCTGGGCTTGAGCTTGGGCTTGGGCCGCCGCTGCCTGAGAGTGATGCTCCTGGCCGACGCTCAGGACGCTGTTCTCGCTGCAACAGCTGGCGGCGTCCTCCAGATCGAGATCCTCTGCATCAATTTCCGCATCTGCATCCGCATCGGCCGACTCGCCCTCATCCTCGTCCTCGATGTTGAGGTGCCGCTCGTTGCAGATGGAGGTGCTGCGTCCCAGGTCCGAGTCATCTTCGGCCTCCTCCCCCACCTGCGGACTGCTGATGTGCTGCGACAGCGGCAGTGGCAGGCAGTCCGGATGCATGGCCTCCTCCTCCGGCTGCTCCTCCTCTTCCTCCTGCTCCTGCTCCTGCTCCGGATCCTCCTGCTCCTCCTCCTCCTGCGGCTGAATGCGATTCAGTATGCTGAATTTGTGCGGAGGCGGGCGACTGCTTGCCAAAGTGGACATCAGTTTCTGTGGGCGCTAATTTGGCGGTTTCTATCTTTATTCCTGTGCCCCTGCACAGCCGACGGCATTTTCAGCCGCACTAAAATAACTGTTTGTTCGCCAAAGCAAAAGCACAAGAACGGCGGTAAGACAGGCACACACACACGCACACACACGACACGCGCGCAGAGCGGGAGAAGATGCGTCGCTCTCGTTGTGAATTGAACATAAAAAGCATTAAAAGCCACAAAGTACCGTACCGACGCTCGTTCGCTGGCGCTGGCCGTGTTCGTTCCGAACCGCACGAATGAATGAATCGAATGAATCGCATGAAGCTCTCGGCCATCTGGCAAACTGGAAAGCGGCTGCTGCTGCTGCTGCTGCTGCTGCTGCCTGTGAACGAACGAACCACCACCAGAACTCGTTCTTGCTCTCTCTCTTGGTGCGTGCGCGCTCTCTTTCTCGCTCTCCCTCAGCCGCTGTCTCTCTCTCGCTCTCTGCGTCGGTTCGAACATCCAATGGAAGCCATTGGGGCGTCCTACCAACCGGGTGCTGTAGCGTCGTCTCGTTCTGGCTGGGATCTGGCTGGCAATCTTCGTGCTCCGTGCCTGTCAGTTGAGGTTATGTTAAGTGTTTGTACATTTGTTAATTAAGTGCGTCGTCGCCCCGAAACACTCCACTCCACTCTCTCTATCCAGTGTTCTCTTTACCTCTCCAGTCTCTCTCACCCCACTCCATCCTGACGTGCTGATGTTCTGTGTGCCTCTTGTCTCTCGTTTTGATTATGCGCTGCAGCATTTAAGTCGTAAATCTCGTTCTATGTAGGTTCCACTGTCGTCGTCGTCGTCATCCTCTGCCTTGCGGTCTGGCATCTGCAGTCCTTTTAGTGGCATCCTCCATCCTGTTCTATATACACAGCGCCCCATGTCTGACTCTCTTTCCCTGTCTCTGTATGTGTGCCCTCCTATATACTCCATGCAACACATGCCACGGAGCCGTGTGTTTCGTTTCTTTTGACGTTTTTTTCCTCTTGTCTTGTTTTTTTTTGTTCTTCGCAAGCATTTTGCGCTTTTTGATGTCATTGTTGTTGCTTTTCGTGTGTGTGTGTGTGTGTGTCGTTAGCTGCGCTTTATAAATCACCACCACAATTTCTGCTCTGCTCTGTTCCAACATCTGCTGTGATTTCATAATTGCTTTCGATTCTGTTTTTGCCGTTCTACTTGTTTTTGTAGTGGCCCCGCACACATCACACCCATTCCATGTCCATTCCATGGACAACATTGATGATAGTTCCTGCGTAAATGCATACAAATATGCAACACAACAACAAGCAGCGTACGGCTGACAATGAAGAGGGGAAAAGAGAGACACTTAGCATAGGTATGAGAGATGACAGAGAGAGAGAGAGAGAGAGAGAGAGAGCGGGGTTGCTAAGCAACCCGCTGACTGGCGCTTGTCTAATTAGGACAACGTATTGTGGATTGCATTTGTAATTATTTTCCCAAAAATCTTTCATATTTCTCTCTCTACATATTGCAATAAATACTGGGTGTTCCATTAGCATTATTTTTCTCGTTTTGGTGCCATGTTGTGTGTGTGTTTAATGGATCATATTTCATATCTGGAATTGCCCATCAAAGTTGCACCTCTGCCGCTTATCGCAGACAGCATCGGATTGGCCGTAAACAACAAGCAACAAACTATCGGAATTCCAGCAATCGCTTTTATCGCTGCTGTTGAACGCATAAAGCGCCCGGGATCAGGGAAATTATTCGAACTCAAACTCGAACCCGAAGCTGTCCACGCTTTATTATCGTTCGCCTCGCCCTGGCGATCGGCCATAATGCATACGGAATCGGGCGACCACGCCCCAAATGCATAGAGGGGCTCGGGATATTCCAATCCAGTTTAATAACTTTGTTGCAACATTACAAAGTCCCGAGCCACAGATGCCGACGCAGTGATAATCCCCCGATAGTCCCAACGAATTAATCAAGCTTAATTTCAGCTTTCGACAAAAGAAACAATTATACAGCGATTAAACAATAAAAAAGAGAGAAGAGCAGACGGAAAAGCAAAGAAAATAAAAGAAAAACAAGCAGATAAAATCCACAAGTAACCCAAGACCACGAATTATGAATAAAATTAAACGCAATTGCTCAAAATGTCTGAAAAGCGATCTAAGCCCAGCAATAGTTCCACTCTGCTCGCGCTCTCTCTCCCTCTCCCTCTCCCACTGTCGTTGAGCAGATTCCAGCCATGAAGGGAAAAAAACAGAAAAAAAGACATGATTAAAGCCGCGCACGAAACGCTTTTCACATAAAAGACGCCGCATGCGGCATTCACATTCGAAGCGTAAGGCGATCTCGCTAGTTAATCGGCCAGAAAATCTTCATCAGAAATGGACGGCAAACCAGCCAGTGAGGGGGAAACGTAGGAGCTATTGCGACCACAGGGATACCTAAAGGATAGCCGCTAAAAGGTAGGAAAATATTAAATGCGATTTTAGATAATTTATTAATATTTATATTTGAACATATAATGGGCTATTCAATGAAGTCTTCGTATGAACTGTCTAAATCGAATCATCTGTCTAAGCCACCGCGCCAGTGCGGGGTATCGAGAGAAGTAAGTAAAGTTACTCAAACTAAAATAAATACAATCAAAACATGAAGCCTACAACGCAAGCAATAAGTAACAGCGACAACGACAAAAGAGCAAAGCGCGCCGGCGAAACATTACAAGACTTTGGGCATGGATGGGCTCCATCGCAGCAGCAGCAGGCAGCAGGCAGCATCAGTACTGCCAACAACAACAGCAACAGCAACAAATAGCATAATCGCATCGAGTGGCAGAAGCAGAGGCAGCAGCGGCAACTCCTCCATCTTCTACTCTTCGCTCTGCTTTGCTCCAGCACACACAATTTAGATGCGCGGCAATAGATAAACTTAAAGAGGCTTTTATTTAAACAAAGCTGCTCAGTGAGGCGGCAGGCGGAGCGACAGAGACAGACAGCAGTCAGGAGCGCAGGTAAGCATGTAAAGGGGTGCACCCTCGGTGCCTGTCCCCATTGAGTGCGCTCCTGTCTGCGAATATCTCTAGCAGTAGCGAAACTGCGCCTCTTACTCCCAAAGCGAGTGTGTGGGGTACGGGGAGGCGGGTCGAGTGTCGGGAGTTTGGGGAATCAAAGCTGAGGTTTTGGGTCCACTCTGCGCTGTCGTTCGAAGCGCAAAAATGTATGTAGCTTACAAACGAGCAACATCAGAGCGAGTCAGAGCAGAGCTTTAACCTCTCTGTCTCTCTCTCTCTCTACTGCAAGCAGGATCGATGGCTCTCGTTAGCTGCGCCGCTGCAATGCCCACTGCCTGCTCTCATTGTCAATCTCCGCGGAGTGCATTCGTTTGTGTACCTCGCCATTGCAGTTTAAGAGGGTATGTTGTATTCCTTGAGCTGTATGTCACAGGCAGAAGAACTCTTCACTGCATCAAATTGTAAAAGCTGCAGAGAAGTTCCGCACATTTGAAGTTTAGATTGGGGAAGAATATAAAAGCTATAGAGGTGGGAAAAACTACGCTCACGCATTTGCTCGATGGTTTTTTCTAACTACTGGGTATCCTAGAGTCCCAAACCTCGAACCACATCATTCTCGCTTGTGTTTACTCGGTTTTTGCTATTGTCGTACTTGGGAGACCTGGAGTCGCTCCCTCGATCCGGCCAGGGTTCGTTTGTGGCTGATCTTTTAATCGAATCGTAGCATTTATTATGTTCAGTGGGATTGGGGGACCTGAATGTGGATTGGCCCGACTGTAATTGCTGTGATTGCGGCGATTGTTGCGACTGTGGCTGGTTTGTGTCTAATGTCGTTTAGCAAACAATGGACATGGCCGTGTCATAAGTTTAGCGGACATACGGACACAAGTGGCCCGACATTTGTTGCGCAAATTAATAATTTGCTTGCCCAATCCCCCAGCGGCCTCGTTTGATTTGTCTTTCGGGTTGTGATTGGATTTGATGTGATTTCTTGTCTCAATTTATGCTCCAACGAATGGGATTTGCATAATTTATGAATCGATTTGGATGGAATGGTCGGGTGGCGGGGAGGGTTCGAGCGTGCTGGTCTAATTGCAATTAACACGTGACGACAGCAGCCATCGAAGCCATCATCGTTATCGGAGAGGAGTTAACAGTTAACAGCCGACAGTCAACAGTCGGCAGTCAACAGTCGGCAGTCAAACTTCCATTTCGAATTCAATTGAAGTCCAACGCCATCCCAACTCCATCCCCAGCTTCGTTCCACTTGTCGACAGTTTGGAGAGAAAAATCAATAACAAGCATGTGGAAATTGTATTTAATTGACAGTTAAATGCTTTTCAGCTTGCCATGGAAATCGATTGGGCCTGGCCCGACCAGAGGGGAGTCTTGGGGTTGGCCTGAGTTGGGTTTCGGTTGGCCTTTTCGGGGGAGGGGCGGAGTGGGAGTGCGTAACAGGCAATTAGCAGGGGAAAAGTTTCAACAAGGGAAATGAATAGGCAAAAACAAATTGAGGGACTCCAAACGATGGGGAGGAATACGTAAATAATGAAGGTAATTTCCATTCGCGAGAATTTAATCTAAAAGGAAAGCTTTTTAGAGCACTTTTATAAGTTCTTTGAGAGTATCAATGCCAGTGGCAAGGCCAAAATTATATGCAATTTGCGAAACAGTTCAATTTCTTCAAAGTTTTCATCGGCTATTTGGGGATAATTTTCTATCCTATGCTGTCGTTGCATGTCGCACCGAACCCATCCACCAGTGCCATTCCACTTCCATTCTTCCATTGAATTTGCTTCGTGGATGGGCCAGTAAATAAATAAAACGCGACATTTGAACCAAACTGACAATCACCTAATTACATGCACACACACACACACACACAGAAAGAGTAAGAGTTGGGGGTAATTGCAAGACGATGGCCTGTCATCAGTTGATCGTGTGGTTTGTTCTTGTTGTGGCAAAACGCTTAAGCAAATGGCATTCAATAAAAGGTTAATAAATAGCACAAAAGTAACAGCAAAAGCAACAGCAACAGCAACACTGCAACGCAACTGCTTGCGGTCGCACCGACACAGAGAACAAGCGAGAGAGCGAGAGAGAGCGTGAGCAGTGCAGCGACACAGCAAGAGAGTGAGAGAGGGTAAGACACAATATGGCCGACGCTGACAGCCACAGTCATGTGTGTAAGCAGTTGCTGCTGTGTAAGCAGTGCGAGTGTGTGTAAGCAGTTTGTAACGCCTGCTTACTTATGCATGATAAAGACTGACGTGACGTGCCACGGTCCGGTCCGGTCCGGCCAGGTCCCGTTCCGTCCTTTTCGGTTCGGCCCGTTCCTTTCAATTCAATTGGAAGAGAGCAGTTTCGGCCCCATGCAAATGTCAATTGTCGGTTCGTTGTTGATTTAAGCTTATTTAGTACAAACAATCCACTAATTACGGCTTGTTAAACTGCAGCCATTGAAATGACCGTTTAAACCATTCAATTTCAATCGCATGCAATTTACCCACCTCTCAGCGGCACAGCCAATCAGTGGCCAAACCGCCACTATGACAACCCCCCAAGCGACCGAACGACCCCTCCACCGCCTTGTGTGTGTCATGTCCGTGTCCATGTCTTGTCGATTGGGGGGAAATATTGTACATGTGCATGTGGAGATTTGATTTATTATCGATAAAGTCCATGCCGATGACCATCGCACATCTCTCTGGCTTGACAGGCATGCCCACCCCTCATTCCTCCTCCTTGTGTGGATCGGATCGGATCGTGGAACTCTTGTGGATCCTGTGCCTGGTGGATCGCAGCCATGAAGCTTTCACCCGAGCAATTGCCGTAACGCCTACGATCTCTGATCCGTTGGCTATCATCGATAGGCGATCTGCTCGCTCGCTCGCCAAACCAAAAAATCGACGCCTCTGCAATTTGTTGTACACGAAATGCAATTTGCTTAAAATTTATCGCAATTTAATCATCAACATGGAATATGCCCATGCCCCTGAGAGGCAAGACAGAGAGAGAGAGAGAGAGAGAGGGCAGAACAAAACTATTAACGCCAAACGATCGCGATGCCAAAGCGGCAAAAGATCTTCGTCTCTGCCTCCTGATGTTGCGCTTTCCACCTGCTCCCACCAGACGCCCCGGGGCATTCGCGCTGGCAAATGTTTTCATTCATGGCAGCCGACTTGTCCATCGTCGCCAGGAGTCGACTGGCTGTTGCCCTGTAAGAGTGGATATCGTGTGGATGTGCAGCGACTAACATACCCGGCAATCGCGAGCTACGAGAGAAGCTAAAGGTCAGGAGACCTGCCAGGCACAGCCGGGAAGATGAGGCAGTGGAAGGAGCTGGTGGTACGGAGCCACAAGCCATAAGCGGGCAAAATTTGCATTTTTGCCACATTTAACGGTTTTGTTATTTGGCTCTGGAAGATCAGTGGGCAGAAGGTAGAGGGTAGAGGGTAGAGGGTAGAGGCGGGCAGCGCTTCATTGCATTCAAAATTGATTTGTTCATGACGAACCCATTTGAGAGGGGACCACGAAGGGCAGAAGAAAGTACAAGATGACTTGTGGCACTGTTAACCCCGGTACGAAATGCCAGTGAGGAAAGCGGCCACAAAATTGGTGGCCACCAAGCTAAGAGGCAACTGTACCCCATAGAATATCCCATCTGCCGCCAGCGGACATTGACACATTCAAATCGATCAAACTTGTTTCAGCCAGAGCCAAAACTCATTTAACTTTTGTGACCGGCAAGTGTCAGCCGGCATACAACAGACACCAACCGAAAAAAGTACACATTTCTATTGATATTTGCACAGAATGACAGTTTTGATTGCAAGTGACAGCTTCACGCGACAGTGACAGCATTCGGAGTGACAGGAAACCCATCGGTTCCGGGTTGACTTAAAGCGAATGACTCTAGCAAGAAGGTGGGGCTGTGTTCGAAATTAATGAATAAATGAGGTGAAATAAGGCCAATCCCCAACTGCCTTTCAGCCCGAACAACCAACGCTAATGAGGAGCACTCTAAACTTATTTTCCCATCAATTTCACACACAAGGAGACATCCACATGGCTGCATTATAATAAACATCATGTCAGGGCAAGAGGTCAAAGCCGAAACGAAAGTCCTGCACAATATTCACACAGAGACTGAGGCTCGGAGGCTCTCTCCACATCATCGATACGGATTCCGAATGCAATTCCAATTCCAGNAGAGCCAACAAAAGTGGCTTAAATCAACTGCTGACAATGCTAACGAAGCAGTCAGCAAACAACAAACAAACTGCGACACCTCTCTGGCAAAAGGAGAGAAGAAGGAGAAGGAGCCTCGAATGAGGATGGAGCTGGATAGGAGGAGGAGTAACCAGAAGTCGCCACCGCGAATTGAGTGCAAAATATGGCGCAGAGCGAGAGCTGGCAAACAAACCCAGCAAGAAGGAGGCCGAGGAACCCCTTATGTCTGGTCCGGGGCATATCCATGTTACTTAGCGTCTTTGTAGCAGTTGGCGCGTCATGTAGCCAATTAAAAAAAGCAAAGAAAAAACGACAAGCAAGAGAGGAGCAGAGTAGCAGAGTAGCAAAAGAGCTCACTGAGATTCGACAATGGTGGAGCTGAAGGAGGTGCGCCTCCTGCCTGTCCTGTCCTGGTCACGATTGGCAAACAGAAATCTAAGCGAGGCAATCAAATTAGGCAAGAAACAAACCAGGCAGGCTGCTGGCACTTCCTCCTGCGAACTGCAGACTGGATTGGCAACTGTGACTGGGGATTGGGTTTTGGGGTTGTTCGAGGGTGGACAACCTTAATTGCATCTTTAATGTGGAAGGCAGTACACAGATATGCTAATAAAGGTCAGCGGATGTGCGAGCTGGCTGCTCGACGCTTCGGGCTCACATCTCGATAGCCGGAGTGCCGACGTGTCGACGTGCCGGTACCGTTAAGCAAATTTCATGCCTGATTTTCTGTTTTGGCCTGGCCCAAACGGCAGCACATTGGCGGGCACATTGCAACATGACACCTCGACATGACAGCAAAATGAGCTTCTGTTGCCCGACTCCTTTTTGAGATCTCTGCAACAGCAACAGCAGCGGCAGTGGCATCGGCATCGTCGCTGAGTGACAACTGCAACGGCGTTGCTTTCAAATATATTTAACACCAGACTGAGAGGCGACGCGGAGTGCAGGCGATTGTGGGCCAGTGACCAGTCGCAATCCACGCACCAAATGCATGCGAAATCGAACACTTTTCGCACTCTCACACGCTCCAGGCAATGGCTACAGTGGGGATACCTGAAAGGTGACAGACTGGAGCTTAGCTGTACGGTATATTCCATCTGCTTGGAAGCTTCACTGTAGCAGCCAGTGCATTCATTCGTTTGCCATTCATTTATTCGCATCAAGTTGCCAATTTACAAAAATACGAATTTCAGTTTGATTTCGATTTGGGTTTCGATTTTTTCGTTATTTTTGTTGCATTTTTTGTCAAACGCCGCCGCCTTAATTGATTTTGGCACTTTAACGAGCCGCAAAGTAAGCGCAAACCAATTGACAGCTGCTGACCGGGGCTGGCGGCGTGTTAATTGATCGCCAAAGTGGGCTCTAATCAAAGGCGTGGAATAACAACTGGGGACTGACTGGGACTGGAGGTCGTTTACAACGTGCTACAGTGTTCCACCAATAAATAATACCAGTATCTCGAGTATTCTCTGTAATTTCGTTTATTTTAGTTGCCGCTTTTGGGGATCGCATTCTTCATATATATATTTCGATTCATGTTTGCTTGTTATGTATTTTATGTACACCATTGAAATGTCGGCCAACTCTATGGGGGGGGGGGCGGAGTGCCATATCCGTAGCCAATCCGTAATTACACATTTACTTGAATGAACTCTAAATATTTGATGGAATACTATTAGTTATATGCATAATTTGTTGCTCTTATTAGTTGATAACTTATGCAGGAAACAGTTCAAGTTTCAGGCCAGCCAATCATCGAGTTTTGGGGTTTCAATCATTTCATCATAATTTATTCTTTATTCATTGTGCTTCGTTTTATTTTTACAGTGTAGCAAGTTGTTTGATTAATTATTTATTAATTATATATAATTTGTTAAGTTAATGTTTCGTTTTTCGTTTATTTACTCTGGGTTTTTGGTTGTTTTTTTTTGTTTGGGGTTTGTGTTTTGTTTGCTTACTTAATTACCACAACAAGCGTTTCCAGTTTTCTTATTTGATTTACTAACATTAAATACAGGTTTATCTATATATATATATATAATATATCTGTAAATATGTGTACTTTTTATGAGGGAATTGGCTCAACTGCCGTGCGGATTGAGTTCCATCTCCATCCAGTGGGGCTTACAAAATGATTAAAACGAAATGAAACGCTGATTGGAATGCAACTGAAATTAGAGTGTGAACAAAATATCAGTACAACTGAAGAAGCTTAAGGTTGAACAAGTGCATGTTCGGAAGGATTAACGAGGGATATAGGGATAAATACCAACCACACGCTGGATGAAGAATATAAATCCGCTGATGGAATCGTTGTGCCAATTGCAAAGAGTTCAAAGTTCTATACAGAGAGGCTGGCTATATGCATATTTAAGCTATTAATACTCGATTGGTAGAATTCACATATCAGTTAGTTATAGAGCATTATCGATAGAGAGAGCGTTCTTGGGAGTGTATGTGGGTTGTGGGTTGTGGGTTGTGGGTGTCTCTACAATATTTTATGGGGTGTGGGTTCTGTTTCGGCCGCTTTTCGCTGTAAACAATTTCACATTTAGCTACGAATTAGTTCAAATACAAATACGCAAAATGGCTGTATCGATACACATATACATACATACCTATATATATATATATTTTAAGTACTTGTTTTTGTTTGGTTTTTGCTTTTTTTCTGTAGGCTTCCTCCCATTTTTTTATACTGTGTACACTTCATGCAAAAGAAGAAGTTAAAAACTGTTAAGTACATATAAAAAATATGATTGTTGCTATTACTATTGTTGTTAGTTAATAACTATATACAATTATTATTGTAGGCTACCCAGACACACACACACACACGAATAAGTTTTAAAAAACTCTTACAAAGTCAAAGCTATGATTTCATTGAATTTTATTTTGTTTCCGATAATGGATGATCCAACAATGAGAATTATTCAGATATTAGACAGTCGCATAAGTCGTATATACACACACAGCTATATATGTGGTTAACTATTCCCCTAAATGTTTAAATAGTTTTCGTGTTTTGTTTTGTTTTGCTTTGCTTTGCTTTGCTTTGCTTTGTGTGTTTTTACCCGTAGTTGCAGTTGCAAGTGTGTCAAATCATAGAAGTTGTACGCATCACAATCGGTTTATCGGTTCAATGGGAGTAGGAGGAGAAGGAATACAACGAACTGGGGATATGAGATGACAATGGGTGGAGCTGGATCCATTACAACACACTTCGAGGTCCAAGGTACGTTCCGCAGTCAGGCTGAAACTGAAACAACAAAAATGTATGTATGGGGTGCTCCGCGATGAGGGGAAGTTCTCGTTTTCGTTTTCGTTTTCGTTCTCGTTCTCGTTCTCTCCGGGATGGATGTTCAGTTTTTTGGCTTTTTATTAGAGTTTGTCGCAATTTTGTTGAAGTTTGCAATTTGTTTTTCCATTTTATTATCGCTCTTTGCTTACGCTCTTACCGCTCTACAATTTACATTCTAGGAAAGTACATCTCTACGTAACTATAGTTTAAATGATTTTGTTTTTTTGTTTTTGTGTGTTTGCTTTGCTGTTGCTTGTTTTCGTTTTGGACTTTAAAATATTATCGTTAGTGTTGTGTTTATATTATAACATATTATCATCAGCAGCATCATTATGTTATTGTTATTATTATAATAATTATTATTATGTTGTTTGTTGTTTGTTGTTGTGTTGCTCTTGCATAAGCATTACAAATACAATTAAAAGTATTACCTTGTATAAAAAATAATAATAATAATCGCATACAATAATAGTGTTTTCTTATGCTCTCCACTGTCCACTCTCCACTCTCCACTCTCCACTGTTCACTCTCTATCGATCCTTTGTTAAAATAACTAAAATTTAGTTGAACGTGGGTTTTTTCTCTTCTCTTCTGCTCTGTTCTGTTCTTATCATCTTTTAGGCTACAGGATAAGTTAATTTAATTTACGTACATTGAAAAATGTGTTTTCGTTTTTCATCTTGTGGGTTTTCTCCCGGTTGGGGGGGGGGGGGGGGGGGGGGGGGGGGGCTGCCGCGATTGGCGGGGGCGCACAACATCGAACAGCAGCCCGGATAAAGCGCGTGATTCTGAAACGGCGTGAGCCTGAGAGGCTTGGCGGCCTCTCCATCGTTCCTACAACTAATTCGTATCACTAAATATATAGTTTCATAATTACTATTAATTCTTGTTGCTGCTACATTTTGTTTTCTGTGTGTGTGTGTTTACAATCGAATATTTACAGTTTGCCAATTAACACATGAAGGCGGGACGACATCATCTCCAGCCCAGCAGAAAGAGCCAAGTTCTCGAGTTATGCTTTACATAAGCATATACATCATTCATACATACATTGTACATACATCGTACATACATATTTAGTAAGTATATTCTCTTGTTTTCTTTTATTTGTGTAATTCTAAATATGTTTTAGGGTTAGGCGATCTTGAAAAATAAGACCTAAATCGTCGTTATACACACACATGTCTCTCTCTCTACATATACACACACACATATATATATATATATACCTCTATATACATATACATATATATATACATATACATATATAATCAAATTAGGCAAAAAAACTTTGTTGTTGGTGGCTTTCGTTTATACAATCTCTGCTCCTTCCATCGTCCCTTTCTGCTTGGCTCTTTCCCTTTTTGGCTCTGGAGTGGATCCTCCTCCTGCCGCCTGTTCTTTCCCTTGTGTGTGTGTGTGTGTGTGTGTGTAGGTGTGCGGGTGTGCGCGCGGGTTTTATGCATATGAAATTCTACATTTAATCTACATTATGTATACATTTAGAGGGCATTGTTGTAGTTGTAGTAGTAGCATTAGCCCAGATGCGCCGCCGACTGGCCACTCAGATTGACCAGACAGAGGGCACAGCAGCAGGATGGCTGCAGGAGTTGGCCCAGGGCCACCATCAGCGGACTCTGCGCTGCGCTCATCGGCGCCAGCAGGAACTCGGTCTGCTCCTGGGCCAAGCTCAGGCCCATTCCCAGTCCCAGCGATGTGCCGCCGGGCAGACTGACGGAGTAAACATTTGGCATTAGATGTTAGCTGCTGCTCTCCGCGTCTCATCTGTTTATGGTGGACGTAACTCCGGCTCCCCCGGCTCCGCTGACATTAACATTGCTCGATGTCGTCACCGTCACACCGCCACCGACTCCTCCTCCAGCTGCTCCACTGCCGCCGCTGCCTGTGCCACCTCCATTGTTGTTGTTGTTGTTGTTGTTGCTTGTGGGCATCACCACGCCGCCATTGTTGGCACTCGCTATGACCTGCTCCACGGTGAGACTCTTGCCCACATCCTTGGCACTGAGCAGCGCTCCGCCATCCGAGGAGCCCACATTGTTCGCATTGGTGCTGACCAGTTGCCTGATGGTCGTGGGTGGGCCGCCCGCTCCGCCACCGCCCGAACTGTTGACGGTGGTGCCCAGCGGCAGGGTTCTCGTGATGATGGCCGAATTGTTGAGTCGACCGCGCAGCACCTGCTGCAGTCCGCCCGGACCCAGCTGCATCTGCATCTGGCCGCTGTTGTTCTTCTGCAGCGGCTTGACGTTGAGCAGGCTGGTGTACAGGACTCGCTTGTCGCCCTGCTGCACTTGCTGCGCATTGGCCGCGGACACTGCCTTGAGCTTCTGGTGGTGCACCTGCTGCTGCTGTGCCTTGTTCAGCACCACTGTGGTGGCGCCCACCTGCTGTGGCGCCTGGCTGGCCAACGTCTCGCCCGAGCTGCTCACAAAGTTCAGCTTGAGATTGGAGTTGGTCAGCTCCTTGTAGTGCAGCTTCTGGCCACCGGAATTGCTGGCCGCCACCGCCGCAGCAGCCGCCTGCAGTTCGCTGGCCGTGGCAATGGTGAAGTTGCCTCCGCCGCCACTGTTGCTGCTGGTGAGGAAGATCTTGTTCGCCTGCTGGGGCGCCGACTGCGAGCTGATTATAGCCGTGGCCGGCTGCAGGCTGTAGTTGTGGTTGGCCGCTATCGCTGCCGCCGAGTTGGGCTTCATCTGCTGCTGCTGCTGCTGTTGCTGCTGAGACTGGGCCGAGTGCTGGCCAGACTGCTGCTGCTGCTGCTGCGGTTGCTGCTGAAGATTGAGATCCGAGACGAGCAGGGGGAATGGCGACATCTTGATCACCTTGCTGAGCTTCTGCAACTGCTGATGCTGGTGGTGCTGCTGCTGTGGCAGAGACTCGCCAGTGTCCATCTGGTCGCCGCTGTTGATCGTCGTTGTCGTTGTCGTCACCATGTCATCCTCGTGATGCACCAGCTGCTGCAGCTGCTGCTTGGTCAGCTGAATCTGCTGCTGTAGCTGCTGCTGCAGCTGCTGTCCACCCGGATGCTGGCCAATCACCTTCCTCTGCGAGAACTTGCGATTCAGCAGCAACTTGTTGATGTCTGCAAGGGCAACAGAAGCAAAGAAAAGTGCAATTAGTTTCAGCTCTAAGCAAAGACAGTTTGTGGTGGGAGCAGAGTCAAAGGTCATACAAAGCAAACATGCAGTTTCGTCCCGTAGCAAATGCAGCGTAATGGAATTATGAGAAATGAAACGAACAATTCACAGCCACTTACAGAACAACTTACTATAGCAGAAACCCGCCATCGAATCTAGCCTAGCAGTTAGCACCACGACGGCTAAGATAATCAGAGAGATCTGAGAACTGAGCATCCAAGTTGAGGTAACAAAAGGGACTAAGTGGAGTACCATTGGAAGCAAAAACGATTGATTCCAAGAGGCAAAGAATACATTCGTCCCTTTGCTGTACAAATGTCTCATAAGCAAACAGACGCTCGACTCGAACTATTCGATAACAGAAGCCAAATTTACAGTATATTTTGGTTAGCAAAACTTCTACCTCCACAGATAGTTTGATTACAACGCAGCAGGGGCATATCAAATCAACTCAAACAAAAATAAACAGCAACTAAATCTTGAAAGCATCGACGCTCTCGCTTGTTCCTTTCTACGACACATCATCATCACCTATGAAAGAGAATACATTATACTCGATTCACACCAGTTTGGTGGCTCACCTGTGTTCTCGGGTCCATTGAGCTGCCGCTTTTGGGTGGCCCGACTCGTCCAGAGTATCTTGTTGCCCACCGCCGCTGGCGAGGTGTCGGCCGTTGTCGAGAGCACCGCCGTGGTGGCCACCGCCGTGTTCGTGCCGCTCACCTGTCGCCACACAATCGGCTGCTGCTGCACCAGCTGCTGTTGCGAATGCTGCTGGACGACATTGTTGCGGTTGGGCGTCGTCACAATCAGAGGCGTCGTGGTGCTGCCCTGCTGCTGCTGTTGCTGCTGGTGTTGCTGCATGCCGGCTATGCTGTGCACGGCCAACTGCTGGCCACTGGCCGTGTTGATGATGTTCACACTGGAACCGGAGCTGGAGCCGACGCCGCCCGTGGAGCAGTTATCGTCGCTCTGCAGCTTCACATTGGACAGAGTGATGACGGTGTTGGGTCCAATCGATGTGGTGGTTGCTCCTCCGCCACCGCCACTTGTCTTCTGTATGGCGTAGGTGACCTTCTGGGAGGCTGCGGCGGCTGCTGCCGTAATAATCTCGCCGCTTCCGGTGGTGTAGATCATGTGATTGCCAGCGGCGCCAGCGCCGGCTGCGTTGAGGGGTGTCAGGGAGCGGGACGAGGTGACAATGCTCTGTGTGGTGATTACCGGCGAGCCGATCCCATCCCGCTGCATCTGGAAGAGCAGCTGCTGCGTGGGTTGCTGCTGCTGCTGCTGCACCTGCACTTGCTGGGGCGTGCCCTGGCGCTGCTGCACCGTCACATTGCGTAGCTGGGCTTGGGCCAGCTGATGCTGCAGCTGCTGCTGGGCAGAGAGGTTGGGCAGGGGACTGCTGCCCGTGTGCGGTGTGATCGTCACAATGTCCCCCACGGCCGCTCCGCCGCCGTACTCCGTTCTGGCAATGATCTGTGGACCGGCATTGGCGAACTGATTCAGCAACTGCGTCACCTGTGGCCCTGTCGGCGTTTGGACCTGCGCCTGTGTCTGGGTTGTCAGCTGCAGCTGTTGCGTTTGCACCTGCGACTGAATTTGCGACATTTGCGTCTTTTGGGGTGTTATCTGGGCGGGTATATTGATGAGCTGCGGCGTGGGAGTGGACACAATTGGCTGCGGCATTGACTGCGACTGCGACTGTGACTGCGACTGTGACTGCGACTGTGGCGGTGGCGTGGGCTGTAGCTGAACGGTTGGCGCTACCACCACCTCCGGCTGCGGTGTCTCCAGCACTGGCTCCACCTTTACAGCCTGCAGGAGGGTGTCTGCCGTTGTCGTTGTGACCGTCGTGACTGGAACGGATGTCGGCTCTGGCTCTGCCTGTGGCTGTGGCTCCTCTTTGGGCTTTACCACTTCCTGGCTAAAGAAGACCTCGCGATCCTTGAGTGACTCCTGCGTGGGACAGACCGTAAACGAAGAGCTGCCCACCGGCACATTCGCTGGCCTCGGCTTGCGCGGGCGCCCAGCGCGCTTGGACGACTCTCCGCCGCCCACCTTGGGCTTCTTTTCGTCGATGCAGTCGAGCAGCTGATCGGCAATCTCAACCTCATCCACAGCCGCCTCGCCATCGAGGATGCCGTTCCAGAAGCTGGTTGCCTGGTTGAGCGCCTTGGGATCATCCATGGCGCACTCCTGCAGGATGTTGTCCAGCATGTGCTCGTGATTGTCATCCTCATCGTCGCCGAGCAGATTGTTGATGTCAGTGAGTGAATCGCCGGCGCTTAAGGTGAACTCCAGAGCGGAGCCCGAGCCGGAGCCGGAACCCGAGCAGTTCGGACTTTTGCTGTTGCCTCGGGCATAGTCCTGGGCGTAGGCCGTCTGAATAAGATGAGCATCCGAGTCCATGTCCGTGTACTTGAAGGCATTGCTCAGGAAATACGAGTTGCTGTCGCCCTCGATCTCCTCCAGCTTGCCCAGACGATTCAGCTCTATGCTGATGGGCGTATCCTGGGTCCAGTCCACCGCATGGAGACCAGAGAGTTCGCTGCAGGGCTTATCCACGCCATCGTGGCTGTCGGAGAGCTCGTCCGTAGGCGTCTTGGGACGAAAGTGCAGCCAATCGCGTCGGATCTCGGAGAGGAGTTCGTTGCAAATGTCCAGACGCTGACTGGAGGTGGGCGAGAGTCCGCCCAGATAGTCCACGTCCAGCTCCTCTGCCGGGGCATCGATATACAGGTCCCTGGGCTTCGAGTGCGTTTGGCTGTTGCGCAGATTCTGCAATCGAATCACATCGGGCAGCTGATTCAGGCAGACTGTCTCCTCCTTCAGCTCCTGCTGCGGACAGACCCTCTGCTCTTGCTGCTGCAGTTGCTGCTGCTGCTGCTGCTGGGCCTCCAGCTCCTTCTTGACAGCCGTGTGGCGGATGATGTTGCTCAGCTGGGCGAGATTCACATCGTCCTCTGCCTCATCGTCCATCAGTTCGGGCTCAGGAGCAGAGCTGGCCTGCAGTACAGTGGCCGCCACCGTGGCGGTGCGTATGCTGCTCAGCGGCTCGTTGGAGTCGTCGGCATCGATGAGCTCACGCTTTATCGTCTTGGCCACATCCTCCACTGAAGGTCCAAGCATGGATGCGCCTGCTGCCGATGATGTTGATGATGCTGCTTCCGCTGCAGCGGCTGCTTCAACGGCTCGTGCTGCTGCCGCTGCCGCTGAGGTGCTCGCCACCGGCTGATCCTCATGCCCAACGCTCTCGTTCGCCTCCGCCTCTGCCTCCAGCTTTATCACATTGATTTTGTCGCTTATGCTAACGTCCTTATTCATATTATTACTACTACTACTGCTACTACTGCTGTTGTTGTTGTTGTTGTTGTTCAACACGGTGTTGTTGTTGTTGTTGGAACGGTGGTGGTGCGGCTGCTGCTGCTGATGATTGGCTCGCGGAGCTGGCAGCTCCTCTGCCGCACTGCTCTTATCCTCCTGCGGCGCCAAATTCTCGCATGCTTCCATCTGCTCCTCCTGCTTGAGTTTCTGCCCCAAGGCCAGCACCAGACGCTGCAGATACGCCCTGGGCAAAGGACACAGCTGGGCAGTGCTGGAGGAGTCCTCTTCCCCAGCTGCTGCTGCTGCCTCCGACGATCTCTTCAGCCGCTTGGCCGCATTGAGCTCACGCAGCTGCTGCTTTTTGTGGCGCAGGCGACGCCGTTTCAGGCGCATGTCGTGCGAGTTCTGGGACAACGTCACCGCCGAACTGTAGAAACTCAGCCGCGAGACATTCTCGTCATCGGTGGCCAGATCATCCTCCTCGCCATCCGGCTCGAGCTCCAGCACCTCGTCCACCTCTTTGTCCTGCGGCAGGGGCAGCAGCATGGAGTCACCCACCGACCTGGTGCTGGCTGAGATGGGTTTATCCGCTTGCTGACTGTTGGGCTCCGATTTGACAATGTCGAGCGGCAGCGACGACGACTCATCGACGTCCATGGGCTTGGCTGCGGGCACAACAACAAGATCCACAACAGTGGGCGGGGAGCAGGGCTTGGCCACTGGCAGCAGCAGCCCCTCCGGCTTCAGTTGGTTGCTTCTCCTTTGGGCGTTGTTGTTCTTCGATACACTCTCCATGACGGTGTAATCCAGCTGCGACCAGACATCGTCAAAGTTCGTTATTGCCCGATCGAGGAGTATCCTTCCGCCACGACCCACACGACGACGGGCGAAGCCAATGCAACGCGGCCTGCAAGATTAGCCCCGATTTATGCTTGAGTATGGGGCAAAGGCAAAGGCAAAGGCAAAGCCAAACACCAACAACACAACGAACCTGGGATAGTTGATGGAGGTCAGCGTGTAGCGATATTTGGGATCCGAATACCCTCCCGCCGATTTGCTCGTTTCCGTCTCCTCATCTGCCGAGTCGTAGGGCCAGCGGCCATTTCGGTGCCGTGTCTATGGAAATGGAAAAGTCAACATTAAAATCATTTTCTATCTGTGCGAAATGGAGGGGGAACTGTAAAGCTCAACTTACGGGCAGGTAAATACAACTTGGCTTCCGTCTAAATGCAAACGGTGCCTCATCCTCGCTCTCGGAGCCCAGCTGGTTGCCATTGAGACCACCATTGAGATAGTCATCCTCCTCGCTGTCGAGTATCGAATCGTTTGCCGCCGGCGAGGCACTCTGCTGCCTGTTGTGCAGATGATGTGGCAAATGGTGGGCAGGCGATGCACCAGAACCCGACGACTGCCCCGGCAAATACTGTTGAGTTTGCTGCTGCTGCTGTTGTTGCTGTTGCAGTTGTTGATGCTGCAGATTCTGCTGCTTGTCGCGGGGAAGTTTGTGCTTGCGCTTCTTGTACGGACGCTTCTCCTTGCGACTGCTGCTCCCGTTGCCGCTGCCAGAGTGGATGGTGTCTAAACGGAATTTGAATTAGTTTTTGTTATGGCAGAGTAAAATGTTTTCCATTCGTTTGCTTACCCATTGTCGACGTGTTCAGGTACTGAGACGGCGAGGCATACACATTCGCATTGCCCGCTGCTCCTCCAGTTGACAGCAGACCCGGTGGCAGGGCAGCCAGAATGGCGCCACCCGATCCAACCGCCGCCGCCGTCCCTTGTGAGTATTGATTCGTGTACACAGAATTATACGCGGGTCTGTAAACGAAACAAAAACCAATGCGCATCGGTTATACATTGAACACTTTGGAATCTTCGCTGATTTAGAGCTCACCTTGTGCTCTTGTATTGAGCACTCAGCTCGGAGTAGACAGCACCATTGAAGTCGCGCATCTCGACGCGCTTCTCAAAGATATTCACCGACGTCTTCAGTTGTTCGCGCTTCGTCTCCTCGCGCCGCCGCACCATCTCCAGTATAGTTGTGGCGCGCTGCAGGTCGCGTCTGTTTCGATAGGGAAAGATTAATTAGTTAATGCGCACAATTAATAGAAATATTTCTCGCTATATGCTGGCCATCTAGCAGAACTTTTGCAACCGACTTTATGTGTGAGATTCCCCTCAATTCTTACCGCAGCTTGAGCATCTTCTCGTAGGAGGCCTCATCATTCTTGCGATTCTTGCGCGTTTGCATTTTCTCAGTGCGCCGACGAAAGGCCAAATACGGATTATTGGAGCTGGCACCAGGACGACTCTCTGTCTTCACAGAGAGTATCAGCGGATGTTGCTGCAAAAGGACAACACAGAAAGTTGAGCATAAGGTAGGGACTGTTGCCCCAATCGAATGCCTACCATCTTGAGGCGCTTGTTGAGCCAGTAATCGTAGAGGGATATGCTCGTCTCATCATCCTGATTGAGCAGAGACTTGGCCTCATTGAGGGTGACGACCGTTTGGCCCGAACTCTTCTCCAGCAAATCCATCAATTGCTCAAACTTCAGCTCCGACAGGTCAAGGCGCTCCTGCTGGTTCAGCCATTCCATGTCCGCCTTGTCCATATCGTAGTCGGGCACCTCAGTGTCCAGGCCAAGAGCTATTGGAGGGGAAAACGTTTAGTATACGAAAGATTATGTGGTTTATCGAGTGGGAACTCACGTTGCATGTGAATCATTTGGCGAGGCATCTTGTAGTCCGGCGGATAGTAGGTGTCGTAGAAGGGCTGGTCCGTCTGCAGTACCTCGGGTGTGGGTATGATGAGGCCCGTGCAGATTGCCCGCTGCAGATGGTGTTCCTGTTTACCAAAATCATTGATTAAAACTGAGACTTTTGAATACTCATTTGAGGTTGAATATACTTACCGACTCTTCCTCCTTCTCCATGCCACTTGGCATTTGGGGCACGGCACGATTTATGGCTGAATACTCGGGCAGATCGGGCAGCTCCTCGGCCAAGTAGATGGGCATCTGCTTGGACGGATCCAGATGGCGTGCTCTGAACGATAGCTTCGACATTTTGACTTCTTTTTGTTGGTTTGTTTGTATGTGAGTGGTGTATATGGAGTATGTGGAACGTTTTAGCTGTTGCTGTTTTGTATATTTCTTATATGCTTTGTTTATGTTTTTTGTTTTTGTTTTTGTTTTTGTTTCTGTTTCTGTTTTATGGTTGGTTAAGTGGAATTGGCTGCTTAAGTTGCTATGGATACTCCTGCTGCTGCCGCTGCGGGAGCTGTTACCCTTCTGCTGACGGCTCTACCGGCCACCGGCGTTGAGGGATTTGTGCTGCTGCTGCTACTGCTGCTGCTGACGCCGCTCTCAAGGATCTTACTCCGTTGCGTTAATGCTGCAGCTGCTAAGCGCTTCGTTGTTGCTGCTCCTTCTGCTGCTGTTGGTGCGGCTGTGGTTGTTCTCTCTGCCAACCTGGCTATGGATGGAGAAGATATGCTGCTAGTCCCGAGCGTATGCAACAGCAGGGATGCACAGGCTAGATGCAGTACGATGATGCGGCTGGCCAACAGTCGGGCCTGATGCTGCTCCTCCGCCTCCTCCGACGACTTAGCACCGGGGCTGCGGTGGCTGTGGCTGCTGTGCCAGCTGGTTAACGCAGCCCCTGTGCCCGTTCCCTTGGCAAACGTTCTGCCACTTGTTGGGATTTGGTGTGGATTTTGATGTAGATTTGGGTGTGGGTATGGATGTGATTGTGGATGTGGATTGGGGATCGGGTTGATGATCAATGAACGCCGCTTGAGAGCAACCTTTGTTGCTATATAGGGCGTATCGTTATCGTCTTCGTCCACCTCCTTATCCTTCTCCTCCTCCGCCTCTGCCGCCGCCGCCGTCGCCTCCTGCTCCGCCTCCTCCGACTGCTGTTCCTGCTGTCCGGACTCCTCGATACGTGCAGACAGGGCCGACAGCAGCAAGATGGCCAGAGAGATTAGCTGATTGCAATTACGACGACAACGCAATGGTAGCAACAACAATGACAACGAATGCAGCAATTGTGTCGACGACATTTTTCACGTTGAAATCGAAAAAAGTATGTGAATTGGCATAATTACGTTCATCAAAATTGCACATTTCAGTTCATCATCATTTTTCTATATTGAAAATTGTTTTGTTTTTCTTTTCCAGTTGTTGCCGTGTGCCGCTCTTCGTTTCGTTGTTGCTTTCTTGTTGTTCTCTTCTTTCTATCTCTCTCTTCCTTATCGTTGGATGATAAAAATCTACAAAAGACGAAGACAACAACAAAAAGAGGTAAGTAAACAACTAACACACACACAATCAAATCGATCACAATGAATGCATAGTAGAAACGTGTACGTGGGCGTGTGTGTGTGCGTGCGTAAGGGGAGCGCGCGCGGGAAAAATAATCTAAATACACACACACACACAGCACCACACACTGCGGCGATCGCACTCGCAAACAGTTATAAAAATATATGGCTGTTTCGCTTTAAATTCATAAAAACACGCACTGCACCATATTCGCTTTTGTTTCAGACCATGAATCATTTCATTCTTAGCTTAATTCCGTCTTTTTTTTTGTCGAAAAATGCAAAATCATGGAAAGCCGCGTACAAAAAAAGGCGGCATAAACAAACACACACGCGGCGACAGCCTCAAACAAACGCGGCGAATTGCACGAAGCAGAAAAAAACACGAAGCGCAAAACACGACGAAAAAGAAGAAAAAAAGGCAGTCAACTCTTCCTCATGTGGGTTTTGTTTTTTGCATTTATTGGCCAAATTAGTGAACCGCCGCGCCATGTGTATATTTCCAGACGCTTTAATCAATTTTTAACATCGTTTACCGCACTTTTCACACACCTGCAAGCAAAATTTTGTTGATAATTCGCTTGAAAAATTTACACAAATTTCAAGATTTTGCGTAGCGTGGTTTTGCTGGAAAGCAATAATGGCGGCCAGAGAGCCGAAGACTGACGACGCTGCGGACTCACAGGCCGCGAATTTCGATCAACGGCGGCGACATTCACACGGACCGGTAAGTGGCCACTTCATTTACTTTTGTTGCCACTTTAACACAATTTCACAGCCCAGAGCTTGGGTAATTATTTAATTTTATTTTGAATGGTAGTTAAATATTTTTAGCTGTCCCGCACACATAAACAGCACTGTTTTGCCGCAAAAATAGTTATCGATTCATCGCCGTTCGGCGGCTGTTTTCCGCGGCGCGAAAGTCCGAACACACTCCGAAACGTGAGACTAGCTCCCTCTGCCGAGCTTCTTCGGCACTACGTATCCATGATTTTTTTCACAAACAAAAAAATCGATTAAATTTTTTCACACACATTTTTTGCACTTTATTAATTTATTACACGTCCACACCAACGTTACATACCGCTCGGTACGTTGCTGGAGCAACGCCAAAATTTCAGCAATATTCAATAAGTTTTGCTGGTAAAATCGACCGAAATTGTCTTCAGCAGCGGGACACGTTTTTACTTAATGGGCGGCCATCACGAATGAAATTTTCGGAGTCGTGCAATCGTCCAAAATACTGACGAAATTATTTTGGCTTGCTCAGTTTCTGATCCATTGCATGAAATCGAATGCGGTTTTCGCTGGTACCTGTAGAATTTTGGCAGGGAGAGAATGCATGCATTGGGATCACTGACAGCAGCTGAATTTATTTAAATAAATTGTTTAGACGCTAAAACATGTATCGATTCTCCGCCGTTCGGCAGCAGTTTCAGCGGCGCGAGAGTCTGAAGCGACACCGAAATGTTTACTGGCTCCCTCTGTCGAGCTTCTCTGTAATCACATCTCTATAATATATTTGTAAAATACCGATTATTTATTGATGGAGACGATTAGGTTTTGTTGTCCCACAATATTTCTTAAAATTTATAAATATATTGATAAAATATATAAGCAATGTTTATGCACGTAAGGACACCGTATTGTGTCTAGTTTGCGTGCGTGACTCATATCGATACTACTTTTAGGAACCCTGAACTGAAATAATGTTGCACAGCATTCTCCTCCACTCAACATGCTGCGCAACACATAAACGCCCTTTTCCGTCCGTTGCTGCTTGAGTTCAGAAATGTTTTCCATTATTCGATTTCGTTTAAATAGATTCTTCTTTATTATAATCTTGTACAATGCTCTGTTGCAAAACAATCTTAATATTCGCGCTGTTCGCTTTAATCGATTTAATGTTTACTTGAAATATCTTTATTGGCTAAATACAATTGTTGAGATTGAGTTAGAGATATTATGGTACGGTGCTCATGGATTCGTATCCCTATAACAGTTAGCCTTAAAATCTTAAATGGATCTTTAACAATTTCCGGCGAGTATGCATTTAAGTACGAGTATTTTTAAGCTTTAGCGGATAATAAATACGATTTACATTCAGAATGCTCAATACTTTAACCGAGAAATGTTCCGTCTGTTCGCTCATCCTCCTTCGCCTTGGCAAGCCATCGATGGAGACGGTTAGCGTTGGTTAGACTGGTTAACGAAAGCGAACTGGAAGCACCGTTGAGCTGGGTTGAGTAAATATTTAATGGCTAAATTGAGGTTAAGTTGAGGCTTAGATAAAATAAAGCTTCGGGTTTGGGGGTGTTGTTCAAGCCAAAGCATTGGAAGCCCCCAAAGCTGTCTGTTCTGTGCCGTCTCGCCGGCTGATTGGGCTCGTCCCGCGCTGATCCTCGGGCGGTTGTGTGTGGCCCCTTGGCGGTCGTCGTGGCCATGCCGCACAGACGTTCACAATTACATATTGCGGCTCTGCCGCTTGTGGCCAAGTGCATTTCGAATGCGGTTAGCATTACGCGCACACAGGCAAAGGGCTTGCCAACTCTAAACAGATGCTCGGCAATGACGCGCGCATGCCGCCCACAAATGCCGACCTCGGCCTGTCCACATCCCTCCCTGGAGGGGGGTGGAGGGGCAAGTGTGGAGCGGCTGTCGCGCCATTGCGACCACTGCGATGGTTGCGATGGCGTACATGATGAAAAAATTTAAGTCAGACAGTGGTGTCGTATGTGAAAAAGCACCATAAAACGGGCATGCAGGCGAACCCTCCAGCTCCGAGAGAGCGGTCCTCTAGTGTTAGAAGAGTTGGCTCTGTCGCAGACTGCAGCGCCTGCGTGCCGTTACCTGACGAGAGAGACTCTCTGCTGTTGGATGTTGGAAGTGGTGGTGGAACATATGTGGGTGCTATGTCAGCTTGAGTTCCATGGGAGGCTGCGCGAGGGCGGGGGCTTGGTGACTCGACTGACCGATGGACAGACATTGAGAGAGAGAGTAATAGAGTGGGTGAGAAGTGGGTGAAGGATTACTGAAGTGGTGGGGAAATAGAAGAAGATGGACTCGTGGTGAGTTGAGGTGAGGTGAAATTATAAAAAACAAAGCGTAAATCGTGTTGGAAGTCGAACGAAAAAGCAGTAGGCGATAGAAATATATGTATTATGCATCGGGAGAATGAGATAAAAACTGAAACGATAGAGTAAACGAAAATAAAAACAAATTAAGGCGAATGCTTTGCTTTTGTTTTGATTCTTTGGTCACTCTTTGGCTTTCCTTTCTGGTTTCTTTCTGTTTTTTGCAATATTCAACAACCAATACCAATGTTAAGTTAAATATAGCGCTTTGGCGGCTATATATTGGTAAACGTCTATGATATTAATTTAGTGCTTTTTGTATTGTGAGGAATCTATGGATCGGAAGCTTGGCCCACAACATTCGGGTCTTTCAACGGCTGATAGTCTATAATTGTATATTCATGGCTTTGACATCTCTTCGCGCCTACATGTAGTAAAAACTTATGCTTGTTCTGTTATTTATGATCCACACTTTCAATCGAGTTTAGAGTGGGGCTGGGCTAATGATTTAGTATCTGTTTTGTATGTATCTGTGTATACTTTCAGTGTGTGTCCGGGACTATATGCACTTGTGACTAATTTCAATTTGAGCGGATCAACTGCGACAATGATCCCAGTGACGAGTGCATATATCTAGTGTTGGGTTGGGGTTGAGTGTCATCGTTTATCGTTAATCGTTTGCTACAGGTGTGTGTGTGTGTGTGTGTGTGTGTGTGTCTCTATTAGAGGAGTTCTATGTTTCGGTTGTATAGAAAGTTAGTAAAAAGAGTTAGTTAGTTAGTTAAACAGATGGAAAGATTTACAGAGATACATAAGAGAGATTGAGAGAGAGAGAATGTGGGCGTTAGATGTTTGGAACTACAAAAAGTACTAAATTAAATAAAAATTATTTTTGTTTGCACTACTGAATCCATTATGCGGTGTAAATCGATTGCAAATTCATTTCATATCGATTTCATTGCCTGTTTCGATAGTATTTTTTATGTTTGTTAATTAACTTTGAAACGCATTAACCGTCAATCAATCATTCAATCAAATACTGGTTACTAGAATATTGTCAACATTCACAAACCAAAATCGTTTAGATATTGTACATATGTATGCGTGTGTGTGTGGAGATTATAGTTAAGTTTATATTTTGTGTATTTGTCATCGAACAAGAAAGCATTAAACTATATTGTAGATACAACAAATGAAACGGTAAACTCAAACTCAAGTCAAATGGTGTTGGATAATTGCATAATAATTGCCAAGTGTGGGATGGATATAGGAATATCGATAGAGAGAGAGAGAGAGAGAGAGGAGCGGGGTGTGTGTAGCACCAAGAACGGCGGCCCGACTCTGACTCCCAGCAAGAGCGAGCGAGCGAGCGAGACTTATAGAGAGAGAGAGAGAGAGAGGGAGGGAGAGTGAGTTGGAGGCAGTAGCGAACTAAGTATATGGTGCGCGCAACTGTACTTTTCTGGTGACTTACCTTGCAACTGCAGAACCTGAACATGCTCTACACAGCTGTACAGCTGCACTCGTTTGGCAATTTTCTTCAAGCATGTTTCAATCAAATCAACTAAAGCCAGTACCAGGTTAAGGATTAAATAGTACAAATGCATGAGGGAGCAGTGCAGTAGTGTGTGTGTGAGAGAGAGAGAGTGAGTGGGAAGCTAATAAACGGATCTAAGCTAAGAGTTAAGAGCAAATTTAGTTAGAGATGTTATGGTATGGTAAAATGTTTGTTATTTATTTAGCCAATTCTCAATGATACAAATGAAAAACGATCCAAATGCGCTTAATATAGTACAAAAGCTCGAGTCGATTAGTGGTACATCGGGTGCTCGAGAGAGAGAGAGAGAGCGAGAGAGAGGATAACCATTACTAGGTATAAGTCATAATACTAATTCATACTTTAAAACTCAAATCATAAGCTATTTAATTCGATTCGTTTAAGTCTATCACTAGCATGACAATGAGAATTGAGTCACTTTCAAATTCATATGTAATGTGGTTGGGAATTGGGGATCGGGGATGGGCGGTATGCGGAGTTGATTCTTCTACTTACTAACTAATTATCACTTGTTGAATACAAACCAAAGGGCAGCCACGGGCGACGTGACGACTGATTTCCTTATACAGTTTGAGGGGGCTAAGCTAATGGTGAGACTACACTATGATTTCCATGATATGATGTCGAACCGATTAAAGCTTAATGTAATGCAACATGAAGTTCTCTCCTGGATGAGCAAATTGATGTATTCCACTTCCTTAACAGTTGGAGTTGCTGCAGTTGCAGTTTGATTTGTAGTTGCAGTTGCAAGTTTACATACATACACCCGATGTAGTTGAATGTTTTTTACATTGTAAACATATTTAAGTGTGAATCGATCCTCTTCTGGAGGGTTGTGTGTGGGGGGAGCGGGGCATTTACAAATGTAAGTAACAACGAAAGTAAAGTATGTAACTACGATTCCTACTTAAGCGCTACATGCTTCAGGCTTGCTTTAGCATCAACAACACATGCAATTCAAATAACGAGTACTCGTACTGTGACTCGCAACTGAGTCGCAACTCGTTCTCGTTCTCGTTCGACTCTACGTCTACTCGTTGCGCGCAGACGCAGTGCATCCAAAGCTCGCTTACCGTGTACGTGTACGTGTACGTGTGTTAGTGTTTGTTTAAGTGTATTAGTGTACAAAAAAAAGAGGAAGCCTTCTCTGTCTGTGGAAGCATTTGGGCTGGGCTACTTGAGCTTTCTAATGGTGCTTATCGAACTATTATTCAAACTACTCAATTCAATGCTCGTTTCGGCCTCAAACTGTGCTTCAAACGTTCAAAATGATATTCAAGCTACAAATCAATAATGTTTACAGAGAGAGAGAGAGAGAGAGTTAGATAGGGAGACGGAGAGCGAGAGTTTTGAGAGTTGTATGCATGTGTGTGTGTGTGGCGTGTGTGTGTGTGTGTGTCTATGGATGGGTGTGAGCCTAACAACACTTTCTATCTGTTGAGCAATTGACCCATTAGCCAGGACACTGCCACTGCGATGGTGTTTATGAGATGCAACTGGTGGCCATGAGTGTATAAATCTTTACTAGAATTGCACATATCTTCCTCACAAAAGCACATATGTCCATTGCCTGAACTTTCCATCATGCACACGTGATCGACCATGAATAAATTGATCTGTAACTGTGACGTACACATGCGGCGCACCACCTCGTAGGCTGCAAAATAGAGAGAGAGAGAGAGAGAGACAAAGACATGGAGGGGGACACACGCACACAGTTACATCAGTTAGAAATCAGAGTTGCTTCAGCACAGTTAACGGGCAGGAGTACAGTTTGAGGTACAGTTGTGCTTTGGGGGGCACTGTACTTACGTGATCTCTGATGGCGAACCATTTTCACACAGCAACCGTTGCAGGTCATCAGGGGCGGCTGGTCCCTCGGCAGAGCCGTATAGTTAAATGGATCCTAAGGATAGTTCATCAAAGATCATTTACTTCGGTCTTCATTTTATGTTCTTGGCAACGCCTTCGACTCACCTTACAGCGGGCATCTGTCCAGGAATCGCACTCGTAGCAGTAAATCGATCGCGCTAGACGAAAAGAGATCCATTAGTATCCAGTGCATGGTAAGTCTGAACTTCTTGGTAACTCTCTGCACTAGTTTGAGGTTAGATTTTTGTTTTTCGGGGTACAGTAACGCCAAAAGCATGCCAAAAAGATCTCAAAAGCAGGCAACAAAGTGTTGCAACTTAAATGGGGGTTTTGTTGTGGTGTGCATAGAGTCAAGATCGTGTTTCAAAATATTGTACAAATCATATAAGACTAAACTGTAAGCTACAACGTGCCGAGTATTGGATAACAGATGGGAAGCTCTTGCGGGTAATATTGTATTGCGGGTTATTGAAAGGCATGCAAACACACACACACACACATATACACACACACAAGACAAGACAAGACAAGACACACACACCCACAAGTACTTAGGATAAAATAGAGCTAAGCCGAGGTACAGTTGTGTCACGACTTCAAGGCAATTGTAGGATAATCGATTACGATTTTGATTACTTTGCGAGGCATACAAGTGCCTTGAGGCGCTTCAAAAGTAACTAAGGACTCGGACAGGTCGATAGGTACAAGAAAAAAAAAACAGAAACCAAACCAAACAGTGCAAGAGAAAGTAAAGTGAGGAAGGAGCAAGAGTTGGTTGGCCCGCTTCGTGGAAAGCATTTGCAATCGATCTTCGATCTTCGATCTTCGATCTTCGATCGATGGGAACTCTGGACAGGTAAACCATAAAACGATCTTAATTAACATAGTGATACGTAGTACAAAAATATATGTTCCTTATTCATGGCACCGATTTGAGTCTTGTTAGAGATAGAATATTTGTATACACATAGTACTTAGGCACGGACTCTTAGCAATTCTTAATTTCTTTGTTGTTTTCTTAAGCAAATTGTTTCTGTTTTGGAATGGCAAATGGACTCATACTTTGGCATTCGGCTGAGGCCTGCGGAATCCATATGAGAGTTAGAAATCCGAATATGGCTGCAAATAAACAATGGAAGAGAAGAGAGCAAAGTAGAAGAGGGCAGTAGAGCGGGCTGGCGACGGGGATGGGGAAAACTCTGGCGAGAAGAACAGCCCAGGCTGTTGGCCGTTGGGCTGCCCTTCGCCTAGCTGGGGGGAATTCTGTGTGGTGTGTGGTGTGTGCTGGGTTTAACTTCCTAACCCCCCCAACAAGAAGAGATTACAATTTACAAATTACTTTTAGTGGGAGGACTCCACTGGCAACAACTCAAGAGGCAAACGGATACGTGTGTCGGGTCGTGACCAGGAATATACGAGTATATGCATATGGTAGGGTGTATATACGGGGGTTTGTATGGCAGATATAGTGTGTAGAGTGTACAGACAGCTTCTTACAGTCGATAGAACGGCATTTACAATCAACGGCACGGCACGTACGAAAAACCAAACCAAAACCCAAATGGAACGCAACAAATTCTCATTTTGACTTTCTTTTTACAGGGGGAATTTCCATTTTTAGTTTGGATACAAACAAAACAAAACACATGGGAATTTTGGGTTAATTTGGGGGGTGGGGGTGGGGGGTTAAATCATATGCAAAATGAAGCCAGTTCGATATCAAAACTGAAACTTACTTGGAAAACAATTATCGGTTGTAGCGAATTTAGCCAATGCCAAAAAAACTTGATTTTGATTTTCGTTACAGATGAAATAAATGAAGAAAAAAAATATAAAGGAAAAAAATGTAAAAATGTTTTCAATGTTCTATCTACCAGCTAGAAAAAAAACAACGCATAAAACAAATCAATCATCTAGACTCCCAATCCAAACATTCGATTCACTTCGCTCCATCGTTTCGCACTTTCAATACTTGGATGGATGGAAACCGAATAAAGTATATTTGAGGGCGAGTCTGTCTGCTCTGCTGGTACATTGTCCGCTCAAAAATAGTTTAAATCGGTCCAAATGTAGCATTAATATTGCTCCTGCCCTGTGTTGTTTCATCATGCTCATATCCACACTTTTCCATGGTCAGTTCTTGGAGCAAAAGTGCGTAATAAAAATGTCTCCCTCGATTTGCTGTTGATCTTTGCTCATTTATGTATCATTTCATGTCCACGATACCCCCTCTTTGTGACTGATGTCTGTGCTTGACTGGATGCGTGAAGGGTTTACCTGTGAAAGCCAACAACCAGCTGCCGACTGCATTTCCCCTTTCTGTCCACATCTTCAGTGTGCTGGCGCCTCGGCTGCTGCTTAGCTCACTGCCCTGTGGTTATCAAATTGTAGTACTTGGTTGGCAGAGGGTTTAAATATACGAAAACTCACTTGGAAATGCGTATAATGTTTGGCTGTAATGGCTGCACTTCCCTCAGGTGCGGCGACTTCTGCTCTTAAGCATTCTGATGCCCGTCACTAAAACGAAGAGAAAGTGTTGGAGCCGAGTTAGTAAATGCATTCTGCCGTGCCTCGGCATGTGCCTCATGTGCCAGAGTGAACGTTGGAGTATCCTGAAGATGAATTATGTTTCGGTTCTAAATTTTAAGCTCCCCAACCCAAGCGACAATATAAATATGGATATATATAGAGATTGTGGGCACACAAGTATAGAATGGAAGTGGATCAAAGACACCAAGCTATAAATAGGGCCACATAACCTCTAATAAGTGTTCTAGGTCAACCGATTGGGTCTGGGGTCGTGTCTGTGCTGTGCTGTGCTGTGCTGTGAAAGGGGGAACCAAATTCAAGCTCTGCCCCTCGAAACTGTTGTATGTCCAAGAATGTCACACTATGCCGAATGCATTTATCATTTATCACATAATGTTTGAGTTTATTGTGGCATTCTCTGTTGTTGTTGTTGTTGGTATTTTTTGCATTGAACTTTGGCAGAGCGTCAAAAGTGTATACGAAAAACTGTGGCACCAAGATGAGCGGCAGACTAAAAAAACTATTTATATTTATGTGTGTGCCACTGCTTGGAGCAGAAGAGTGACAAAACTGAGGCTGGGAACTGACGGACAGATACCCTGGCATTGAACTTAGCTCCCTAGATGTCTGTTTATTTGTAGATGCATAAACCCATCTACCCAAGCAATGGGTAAAGAAGTCCTCCTCTTTGATAGTTTCTGTTTTTTTTTCAGGTTAGGGTTTTCGCTTTGGCACTAGCTAAATTTAGCACAATTTGCCGCCAATATTGACTCCACTGCAGTAGCAGCTAAGCCTCTCGCTCAACCCCATACAGCAGTGGCTGCCTCAGTGCTCTCAACCACTGCAGCCCCGAGGCCCGTAAGTGGGTCAGAGCAGAGTGCGCGGTTCAGTGGCCTCCTTGCTGCCGTTCAACAAGTGTCCTACACTGCCGCTGATCGCATTTCAGGGGCCATTTATCACATATTAATGGCCGAGTAACGAGCTAATTGCATAGATGCTCACATGCAGGCATTCAAAGGGGGACTGGCGGGATTCTCCCTCTCGAACTCTCTGGCTTCAATGTGGTCCACTCCGGGTAGTTGTGGCCTTTAATTACTTGCCTGGTTTCCTTGGCTCCTAACTGAATTAGTGTGGCATTTTATTGGGTGGACATAGGCCGTGCCGCGACACGCTTGAGTATTGATTTTTGAATGATGTTTACACCGTGCTGCAGCACAGCTCTCACGCTCGCCCTCTCTCCACTTGCCACTTGCCACTTGCCACTTTCCACTTTGGTTTTCCCCTTCTCAGCTGTCGCTTAGTTCTCGTTTCATAATAAGTTTTGCAACGATTCTGCAGCAACGTGGAAGTGACGGCTTGGGGAATCCAATCCAATTTGCAAGCGCTCGCTCGATTTTCCCTTCATTTATTTATGATTTCAATTTGTTCGCTCTTGCGGGCCAAGCCTCACATTGAATTTCGTATTGATTTGGCGCACAAACACTTTCGGGCCTTGCCTTTCCAGGGCCTGATTTTCCCTTAAATTTCTTTGAAATGCACTCGAAACACTGACGAATCGTTGGCTGCACTCATTTGTGAAATATTTCAATTGATTCAACGATTTTTTGTTTGCTAATTTTGCACGTTTTCACGTTTTCACGTTTTTCCTTTTTTTTTTGTGTTGGTTCTTTTCGAGGGCAACGGCAACACGCAACGGCAATGACAGCGACAACGACGACTGCGGAGGTGTGCGGATTTTCCGATTTTCCGATTTTCCGATGTCTCCCCTCGGCGCCTTTTTTGACACTTTTGGCGCATGACGCTTCAGACGCACGCGCCCAGTGTTGGAAACTGTTCGAGTGGTAAGCTTTTAGCATAAGCTTTTGAGCGCGCAAAAGTTTTGAATGGGGAATGAAATGAATTTGGTTGGATAAATTCCAATAATTGTTTCCATTTTATTGCGAACATTTACTGCTCTTGTGGCTGATGTTGCAGCACTGCTTACGAGTATTAGTTACATAAAAAATGAACATTTTGCATAAATAAATACATAAATAGACAGGCACGGGAACACGGAAATACATGAGAGTAGACATTGAAATTGAATGAGTAATTGGACCCTCCTCCTTGGCTCTGGCGGCATACACTGCCGGCGCTTAAGATCCTTTGTGCGTGTGTCCTTAAGCATAATCCCGTGTACCCTCCAGCTTGCGCAACTGTGGGGAGAGGGCAAAACCAAAACCAAAGAGACAATTAGCTTAGGCTACTTCAATGGCCAAATCGTATTTACAATGTGTATATGAGTGGGTGTGTGTGTGTGTGTGTGTGTGTGTGTGTCAATAGAAGTATTCTTCGCTCCGGGCGCCTTTCAATCTGACTCTCACCTCACGTTCATCGGCATGCGTGCGATACTTATCGGCCGCCTCTGCCGTCTTCGGTGGGGGCTTTGCCTCCAGCACCTGTGTGTAGAGCAGCGCCGCGGCCACGCCCCCCAGCACTGGTCCAGCCCAGTACACCCAGTGGGCACTCCAGTTGTCGGTGGCAAAGGCTGTGCCCACGGTGCGTGCCGGATTCATGCTGGCGCCCGTATAGCGAATGGTGCCCAAGTGGCCCAAGGTCACGGCCATGCCAATGGCCAGCGGCGCCGTGTAGCGGGAGTCGGGCTTGTGGGGATCGCAGGCCCCGAACACGGTGAGCACCAGCAGCAGTCCCAGGAAGAACTCAATGCCCAGGCCCTGCAGCTCGGTGATGTTCTCCGCGAGACTCGTGTGCCCCAGGCCATTGTAGTAGTCCCTGTCGATGAGGGTCTGTGAATGAAATTTACAGATTTTACAGGCCACATGTAACGTCTGTTTAGGTTGCTCTTGGGAAAACATTCTTGAGCTTGCTTAAAGTTCATGGCTTAATCCTTTACTCACCCGCACAGCTGCTGTGCCCGCAATGGCGCCCAGACACTGGAAGACAATGTAGAACAGGGCACGCAGAAAACTGATGCGTCCGGCGACGAGCATGCCCACAGTTACGGCAGGATTCACATGTCCACCACTCAGGTGACCCACAATCTGAAATGCAACAAATATTATTAACAAACTAAAGCTATGAGCTGCCACTCACCGTAATGGCCACAAAGATGGCCAGGCCAAAGGCCAGCGCCTTGAAGGTGCCATCCTCCACCTGTGTGCAGGCGCCGCATGCAAACAAATTCAGTATGAGTGTGCCCAGGAACTCGCCAATGAGGGCCTGCCACAGACGCAGCTCCTTTGACTTGAGCTCATTGAGGCCCAGCGAGTACTCGAATTTTCCCATCTTCTGCACGCAACGTTCCAACTTGGAATGACGAGCTGCAACAACACAGAGCAGACACTTTGCTTTACACGTAATTAATTCCCCACAGTCCGCATTCGGAAATGGATATGGCCCTGGCTGTGTATGGATTAAGTGTGGAAATTAGGATTGTTGGGCTGTTGGGTGACAGTTTCGTTGGCTGCGCTTCCGTTCCAAACGAATTGACGCCTGCAATTTTGTCTGCCATAAATATGTGCGGAAACCTGCGATTAATTGGGGCTCTCTTATCGGCCACAAGTCGTTCAATTGAGGTAAATATTTAAGCAACAGCAAAACGTGAACAACACTTGAGAGAGAGAGAGAGAGAGAGAGAGCTGGAGGGGGACTTGGCATCACTGGGGATTCTGTTTGCTCTGCGGCTCGACACTCTTATAAGGCACATTGCGGTCACGAACAATTCTGTCAGTCAGTCACTCCCAAAAATGGGCTGAAACTCGTTGACCATGCCCACCCCACACACACACACACACACAAATGTATTTATATTGTATTTGTAATTTGTGTTTGCCATCAATCAGCGTTCGTTTCAATGTTAATTCCCATTATTGGGAGGCCTTTTCTTTAATGCAATCTTAATGAATTCTTGTTTTACTTGCGTCAGCCACTGATAGACCACCAATCTATGATACTTTTTTAATTGAAACTGGATGAGCAGATAGCAAATTGGCTGTTGACTTAAGGTTGGGACCAGCCCACAGCCCACAGCCCACAGCCCACACACAGTCGTTTGCATTGACTGAAAATATTGCTAGGCATTTGTCATCGCTGCTTGTTAATCATCGTACATTGTGGAGTAAATTATTTATTCTAAAGTTAATTAGTTAATCCCATGTGGGATTGGGATGAGTTGTGCAGCAGAAATGTTGGAAAGCAATTAGAAATCTATGCACAATTAATCAGCCTTGATTAAAGTTTGCTTAGCGTTTGTTTTCGGCCAGCTTAAGTGATAATAGAATTGCAATTTATGGACGAGACGATAAGCGGCGGCGGCTATAATTGGAAATTTAAAACCTTAAAGCCTTAAAGTTTGCACGCCACTTTCTGTGTGTTGTTCCAGCCAACGCGATTATTTCAATCGCATTATGGAATTCACGGTGGCGCATTGGTAATGGGGCGAGTGTCCGAGTCCGTGCCAATTCGCGCAAATATCGGGAACAATAAAGCAAAAGTTTGCTCAACAAATTAGCACAAATGGCGAGAACAAATCACACACACACAACATTTCACACAAATTGCTGCACACACTCCATTGAATGGGCCAGCAAAAATGCATTTTGACGCATTTCAGCCTTTTGACGGCATTTCAGTGGCATGCAAAACGTGTACGAATATACTCTCGGGATGTACTCCAGGTTCATGAACCTAAACTCGAACTGAACCCCAACTCAGGAACTGAACTCGAAAGTGCCTTATGGAGTGGCGTCGATCGCCATTCAATTAAATTATACAAATGTCGTTAAGGGAAAAACAAATAATTAAAGAGATAAAACACCGCAGATACTAACTGAGGGGCATAAATCTTACGGCTGATGACGCAATGTCTTCGGCACAGGTGTCAAAAATGGTACAAGTAGGCCTTTGGCTTGTTTGGAATTTATAATTCAAATATATGTATGCCGGGGGAATGGCTAAAGAAGTTTGCCTGTAGAGTGTATTTTAGCTCCAGGCTCGATCAGATATGACCAGTCGCTTCGGTTGTCAGTCTCTCGAGGCCCAGCCTCAATTGTCGGCTGTCGGCTGTCTGCTGCTGATGGCATGCACCGATATAGACATTCGCAATTGTTGGTCGCAACTTTGTCACTTAAAAAGCCATAAAACTTAGTTAACTGGCATTGGTATGCAGCCATCGAAACCGAAGCTAATGTTAAACGGCAAACTCCTACACGCTGCCACAACTCCCACACAGACTGATCGCAAATGGTCAGCGGTTTGGTTAAAGGGTCGATCCACTTATGAAATCATTTCACTTGCTTCAAATTGCTGAGCAGCAAAGCAGAAAATTGTAACCAGCAGCCCATCAATCATCAAGCACGGGTGTCATAGCCGCACCGAGAAGAGAACCCCCGCGGGCGATTAGCCTTAACATTACCATAACATGGCACGGCATGGCTGTACTGTACTGTAGCTGCTCTCTGCTCGTAATTAAATCAGACAATAGAAAATGTATATAGAAATCTTAAAAGCTTATATAGATTACACGACCGAATCATTTCACGCTACGCTGAGCTCAATGCTAAAACACAAAGTCGCAAAATTCTATATTTTGGCAGCCACCACTTTCCTTTCGCTTTTTATTTCCCCACAATCCACAAAGATCAAGAGTAAATTTCTATATAAAATGTAGCTATACTTTTACGATTGACACATGCTGCACAATTCGGTGGATGATCTTGTCATATGTTTAGTCAGTCAGTCGTTTGGGGAGGGGGTTGGGTACGGCAAAGAAAGGCCAACTGAGCAAAGAGATAAAAGGTAGAGATGGACACGCATGGAGGAAGGGGAAGGGGAAGGGGAACTTCTAAGCGGAGTGGCAAAAATGAACGAAATAAGAACGAAGGAATTGAAATAACAGCACATGCTGGCCGTGGACTACAGTGGAGACTGGTCACTGTGCTATTAACTAATAGAAGTTTACCTTGTTTTTGTTTTTGTTTGGCACTTGGCACCTTTGCACTCGCTAACAGCTTCACTTCGACACTCCACAGCAAAAGGTCACTCACAGACGCTGACACTGACTGGACGATGAAAACAAAATGCAAGTTACTTTCAATTTGGGAAAAGGAATCGGTTCGCTTGGAGGCGATCCGCGCACTTGGACTCGACGAAAATGAATGCGCGCCAGCATTAAAATCAAAAACAAACGAGGCCCCCCCGAAAAGACAAAACGAAACGAAACGAAACGAAACGATGGAGACGACGACAACGACGACGGAACGGTGGCCGACGACGTCATTGATCGCGAGGGCAAAGAGTCAGCGGCTGACTCTCTCGCTCCCGTTCCAAGCAGGCATTAGCAGTGCACTTCATGCTAATCATAAAAGGAGAGTCAAAGCTTAAGCTACGGTTGGATGGAAGCGAAGTTCACCCCTTGAGCTATGGCTTAGCCGGGACACAAACCAAAGCAAATAGCAATTAAAACATTAAATCAAATCAGCTGAAAGTAATTGAAAAACATTTTATGGCATGCAAATATCAATTGTGAAATTGATACAAGCAACCAAACAGCCCATCCGGGCTGGATCCAACCTTCTCATGAACGTCAGCAGGTGACGTTTGCTGAAAATTTTCCATCTATCGCTTATCATTGAGCCAGAAATCATGTCTTTTCTTAATTAATTTAGGGCCCAACGACACCACCGCACTGGCGAGAGCCATAAAACCTTTCCATATTACTTGGCAAATTGCGGTGCATAAAATCAAATCACAGCAAAGCAAATTAAATTCACTTCACTTTAATGACAGATTGTACTCTATTGATGACAGTGAATTGTAACCATAAAATATATATTTAATTTGTGTAAGTATTTACGAGTCTTTGTAGCATATCTAAGGGGCATGACTTGGTAAAACGAAGCACACTTTTATGAGGTACTGTCCGGCATGTAAGCAACGTGTAGAATCCGCCTCTTACACGACGAGGCAGTCAACCGGCAATATTTTACACTCAGTATATTCTGGCACTCCCGCGATTTGCCTGTGAAAAATCCACTCAAAAACCCGCCATTAGATAGGGATCTAATTTCTAATTTCCACAAATTCATATATTCCTCTGAGTGCAGTGCAAAAAGCTAAAATCAAAACCACATTTCATTGTAAAGAAAATGTATGCCCCGGCTGGCTACACTTGACACCTGACAGGACCAACGCCCACTCTTGAGAGACGGACACGAAAGGCCGTCCTTGACCGTCCTTGCCATGACATTGCGCTCCATTTGCATACAGGACCGTAAGCGTAATCCCCGTGGGCAGGACGGACCCCTCCTCACTATGAAATATGGCAAAAGCAAAGTAATTGTGCCTCCTGACTGGCGAAATAATAAATTAGAATTCTGCTCTAAGGAAGCCATTAATTAAATCGGGCATACTTAGTTGGCAGTGTTCAAAGCAGTGGCTGGACAGTCGCGAAATGACGTGATATAAAGGATGGGCAGTCTTCGATGTGGACTGAGCTCTTAATTAATAGAAATAGAGCATAAATTTGTTTAGTGGGCTAGTGGCTTGAATAGGAACTATGCTCTGTGCAGCTGTGCCCTCTGTTCGAGTCTCTGTAAACACGTTTTATCAGCAAGTAGATCAAAATATCTCTTAATCTATTCAGCTATATTTAATCAAGAGTTAAAGCAGCCACGACTGCTTCCGCACTATGCCAAATCATTGAACTTCAGAGCTGGAAACAATTAATTTTCAGCAGAACGCCACTCGCATGCTAAGTTCTGTTTTGAAGTTCTCTTTTTTTGGCACTTCTGAGAATATCGCGGAAGCTTTACACAATTCTCACCATGCAGCGCGCAAATTTCGCTTTCGTTTAAGTGTGTGTCTGAAGTTCCCCTTGCCCCCCACCTGAAGCGAAGCTTGCAAAAAAAAGTGCCTGAGCATCTGCGTCGGCTTATCAGCATCGGACGGCAGAGGCAAATTTCCATCAATTGCTAGTTTTTATGTTCCCATTACCATTACCGTTCCCCATGTTAATGGGCACTCGATATATAACACGTACGCCATAAGTCAACAGCGGCCGTGCCTAAACCCAGCTAAAACTGACAAAAAAACGCACAAAGCGAAGCTGCGACAAAAAAATTATGTTCTTGATGTATTTTTATATAAAACAAAAAGCATCGCATCAAAAAAAAGCAACAGAAAAGATTGGCTAAATTGGAAGGTCGAAGCTGTTGATACTTTAACCATTAACGTTCAACGTTACACACTTCGAAGTTATTCGACACTTGTGAAATTGTAGAGAAATGTATAAGAAAATGTGTTTTTACAGTTACATAGCTAGAATTCCCAATGTAAATCCCTCCCGCTGCTCAACCGAATAGCTGTAGCAGCAACTGGCAGGGTATACGACAAGAAGTTGAGTAAACACAAATGGCAAATTCTGTACAAGCAGCAAGTAGTGCTTGTGTCAATCAAGGCATTCGCTCTCTACTTTACTTTGCCCAGTTGAGTGGACAGACAGAGGAGGAAGACAGCGCAGATCGAGCAGGTAGCAGGTTGAAGATAGTTAATTGCCTGCAATTTTTGAACGGCACGCGCTTCCCTTCCCCTTATTCCAACGCGATCTTTTAACATAGCCCAACCTCCCCGCCATCTATCGTTTCATGGCAGGAAGTGCGCCTCGGGTGTGAGAATCAAACCTTTTTTTCTGTGTTCTTTTATTCTCGTTTGCCGTGGCGGTGGGTGTGCTGTGTGTAGAATGCGAGACGCAGATTTGACCAGTTTTGATCCATGCGCAGAAATTGGGCTTCGACGCCCGCATAGAGCTTGCGATCTCTTGCAAATATTTCCCACGGCGTATGCGTGAAGACAGCTCGAAGACAATGGCAACAAATACACTGAGACACTCGCACACTCAGCAACAAATACACTTACACGCTCGAACACTCAGCCAAACCAAACCGTTAGTCATGGCTGCAGAGATGATGGAGTAGAAGTTGAAAATGTGCAAAACAAATAGCTCAGACGCAGTCCAACAACAATCAAACATATTGAATTGGTCTTGAGAGGGGGTGGAACGGGGACGGGGAAGGGGACGGGGACGGGGAACGTGGCCGGCCAAAAACAATAACGAGAAGAACCACAATGGCAACGACAAACAGCAGTTTGTGAAGCCGCAAGCTGCGGCCTTATTGAAACATTATTTGTGATATACGAGTATGAAGTACAGTGAATGCTCCACCTGACCAACTGGTGACTATTTACAGAGGACTGACTAAAGAGGACTGAATATAAATATGAGAAACTGATAGAGAACTGGCAAATACGTGTACAGATTGTACCCACTGTACTGCACATGTACCCACATGATCCATAGGTAAACGGCTAGAGCAAAAACCATAATCAGAGCGTTGGCAAAATTTGCATACCTTCGACTTGGAGTTGGACACTCACGCATCGCCAGAGACACACTCACACACTTGCGAACACCACAGTGACTACTAACAAAGATTGATGAAGTGTCATGCGAGGGCGAGAGGCGGTTCGGGGCGGATCGAGGCGTTGCGGAGAGCACGAGACAGACAACACTGTGACATTGACCTTTATTTGAATTTTGGTTGTGTGCCCCAGCCCGAATCAATCATCCAATCACACCCTGCCATGCGTATTCCACCTGATTGATCCAATTTCGTTTTTCCCCAGATTCATGTACGCTTATTGTTCGGCCCCGTGCTGTGCACCCGTGCAATTTATTCCGTTTATTAGCTGTCGCCCCCTTCCCGCTCACAAAAGCATAATAACTGTACATAAGTACATCATGCCGCCGAGCGACACACAACGCCAACGCCACAAAGCGCACAAGATTAACATTTATACCCTTTAAGGGGGAGAGTAACATAGATTGTGCGAAAGCTGGTAGCAGAGCAGGCGATGCAGCTCCCATCACTGAAGGTGGTTGGTTGTATAATTGAAAGCAAGGGTATCTGCAGTTGCGACTCTCGAAAGCTTTTTTCCTAGAGTGTCAGTTTGTGATCTTTGTTTTCGTTTTGTTTCGTTTTTTTTTGCACATATAATTGTTGGGGTGGGCAGGGGGTAGCTATTGTGGATTGAATATGTGCCTGGAAGCGCACACGGTAACAGTTACACTTCCAAAACTGTTTCAATGCCACTGGAAGAGTCTGGTCTGCCTGCCCCAGCCTCTGGGCTTTATGATTGTTTTCTTTTTCTGTTGCTGCTGTCGCTGTGTCTCCTCGCATTGTTTTCACAGCACCACAAGACCCGCAAAGTGCAGAGAAAACAGATAATTGGACAAAATACAATTTACATTTTGTTGCCAGCAATTTTTTGTACCATTTTGCTTGAATTTTGCACAGCAGCCAGCACTTCAATTATACACATTCGGGCTGGGGATGTTTGGATCTTTGCTCCCATCTTTACAGCATATTTTATGGGACTCTTGCTGCTGTCAAAATGTTTTTAAATGTAGACGTTCTTCGTCAATATGAAAACCGATTCAATTGATTTATAACAACCATTGAATTTGGTATACAATTCTACAATTACTATGCAATTATTACTCTATAAGAGAGAGGGAGGGACGCAGAGGGAGAGAGAGCCACAAGTGATAATGAGGTCCAGTGGAATACAAAGAGTAAGCTTGCGGATTAAAGCAAATTTCCGACATAAATGAGAATGAAATCACAGCGGGGGGAAAGAATGGTGGCTGAGCATTAGGGGCTGGGGGCGTATCCATATCAGATCTGCTGGTAGTTCGACAGGCAGCATAGACAGCCAGGCAGCCAGGCAGCCAGACACACAGTTCGTGCCATTTTAATGGCCAACTGGCATTAAATATACATAATTACTCATTAAGGCTGGCAAAAGTCGGTAAAAAGTGAAGCCTTACCCCCACATGCGCACAGGCCGAGACGTTGCCAGAAAACAATATTTACTTACCTGTGAGGAGTTCGGCAAATGTCTTGCTTTGTTTTATCAATAAGTTGCAACTGTTGCTCTCTGCCCTGATATAAATAAAACCAGCCGACGACAAAGTTCTTGCCATCAACGTGCAAATGCATAATCGATAGTATTAAAGCTGTGGAAAGTGGTTTAAAAGTGAAACTGATAAGCGGCAATCCAACCATAGCCCATTAGCGGAAAAAGCTGCACATTAGTGCCATAAAAAC